ATTTGTAAATCGCGAGGTCAAGATGTTAGAGATTTTTTTGCAGGTATTGAGGTATATGTAACCGTCGAGCCTTGTATCATGTGTGCGGCTGCCTTGTATGATTTAAATGTGAAATCGATCATTTACGGGTGTAAAAATGACAGATTTGGAGGTTCAACTGTATTTGATGTAGCTTCCGTTTTGCATCCTATTACACAATCCGTCGGGGGGTTTAGGGCAGAGGAAGCAATGAGTTTATTAAAAACATTTTACAAAGGGACCAACCCTTCTGCCCCGCCTCATAAAGTTAAACTTAAGAATAAGGATAAATAGAATTATTTTTTTTATAGTTTATACATTTTGTCATTTGACAAATACAATACGTTTTTAACAGTAACAACTTATTGATTTTTGGTAGCTATTTTTGAGATTGATTAGTCTATTCATTTTAAGAGGGCAATGGTAGAAAACATAGGGAAGCTTTGACCTTCACTCTGATTGGTTATATATAAAACAAGTGACGAATTTTGTAAGCTGGTATAATAGTTTCTGTTGCCAACTAAGCTGTCGAACTGCCATTAGCTGTTAATGTCAAAAATCTAAGCATAGAATCGTTTGATTTATTTCTGTTGGTAGTGCTCGATATTTCTACTTTGCAATAATTGGGTGCTGTTTAATATTTTTCCTATCTTCAAACACATCGTCATCTACTACCTTTTTATAATGAATGTAGTATCGAAGGAGGACCTCAGAGCAATTAATTCATAAGTTCATATTAATTAGTTACCCTTTTTTGCAATTGCTCTGGATATTTGAGGATGAAGAAGAGCTTGCTTTAATCATACGATATTCGGAATATCTATCATATTATCTTCTTCTTCATCTTTCATTTATTCAAAAAGTTCTCATCTAATTTGATGTTGTGTCCTCAGCAAGGTTGACATTTGACCAAAATACCAGCAGTGTGTTATGGTTACTTAATTTAGCCCCTATTTTGGTTGAGACAGTGTATCTCAGCTGTTTTTAAAGATAGAGACTTGCGGTCGCGACCCCTAATCAATGTTGGGCCACAGATTCTGAGATCTGACGCAATGTTGGTATTTTTTAAATGCAACACACTGTATGTCTTACCGTCAATTGTTATTCATTCTGTTTCCTGGTTACATTGATATGTCACAACTTCTATATATTTTTTTAAATTTTAGCCATGAAAACCTTAGTTTTTTTGTAAACAGTAGGCCTTAGATTCATTGTTCATTGTTTTGTTTATTGTATCATGGGAATTAAGGCAACCGATACCAATCAATAAAAATGGCTGACGGTAGAAACATAACATTTCAACATTTTGAAAAATATAATAAAATATATTAAAAAAATATGCAAAAAAATTGACGTTAAAATATACAAGGTGTTGCATTTAAAAAATACCAACTGGGTCAAATCTCAGAAACGAGTGTCCAAAATTTTTTTTATTACGCCACTGGATTCTAAGTAACTAAATATATCTAGAATAGTCAGTTTTTACCTTTTTCTATCTTACATGGGTACATGACATCTCAAAAAGTGAAATTTTTGGTTTGCACCCTGTATCTCAGAAACAAATGTAGCTAGATTGATTCTGTTTGTGGTATTAAAACTTCCACAAAAAAGTGGCACAGAGTCGCGAAAACCGCAAGTCTCCATCTTTAAAAACAGCTGCAATATCAACCAAAGTAGAGCACACTGTACTTAGCTAGCGTTGGGCAAAAAAATCGATTAATCGATTATAATCAAACGATAATCGATAATCGGGTTTGATTATTCTATTAAATTAATCGATTAATCGATTATTTGATTAATCGATTATTTGATTAATCGGTTATTTGATTAATCGATTGTTTGATTAATCGGTTATTTGATTAATCGATTGTTTGATTAATCGATTATTTGATTAATCGGTTATTTGATTAATCGATTGTTTGATTAATCAATTATTAAGTAAATTTTAATTGATTATTATTAGCTGGATCATCAGTTTACGCAAAAAGGAGCACTCACAGCTCACAAGTATTATTTTATTTTATAGCGGATGTTAAAACGTCACTTTAAGCAGCTAAAATGAATTAAGATTGTATCATCAAAACTAAAGCACACCTCATCGGAGAGTAAGCTGCCTAATCATTTATTTTTATTTATTTATTTTTATTTTTGACCTTAATTTTCAAATGGGCAGGGTTTCAGCCAAGGCTGTTCTACCAACCAACCCGCTATGCATTTGCAAATATCCATGCCCCGAACCCAGATGCGAACCAGGGACACTTTGTTGATTATTGATTAATCGATCTGCCTAGTAATGAACGATTTAATGAAAAGAGTAATGGAATTATTTTTTATTTTTATTATTAAATCATTAACGTATGCATACAAACAGATATTTATCACTCCTTGTATGTGACAATCGACTTTTGATTAAACCATTAGGTGATTAATCGATGATTTGATTAATCGATTATTTGATTAAACGATTATTTGATTAATCGATTAATCAGTGTAATCGATTATTTTTCATAATCGATTATTCAAACCCGTAATCGCCCAGCCCTAGTACATACATTGCGCCTGACTGACCAGCTCCGTCCTCACATTTTATCATAACTTTCATTTTTATTAAACAATATACCTACTATTTGTATAACAATTTTCAGTCTTAGTAAATTCATTCATTACCTCAGTACGTATGACAGCTTCGATGACATACTTAGAGACCCATGTTCCCAGTTCCATTTGGCTGAGCACAGTATGTTTGTGTAAACAATCACTGTAATGGACTATAGAAAAACTAGCCTTAGTAAATTCAGACTTTTTTTGGAACATGTTTTGTGGGCTCTCCTTCTATATTTTGAGATGAAACTACACTGTTGTAAATAGTGGAACAAATACAAAGCAAAAAATTACTATTGCTTTGTGCTGTTGAAACCTCTTGGGTGCCCTTACTTATCACAAGGCATAAACAGCCAGCATAATGGGGACCTTAGATCCATCTCGGCCAATTGACAAAAGATATTTACTTACTATAATTTAAAACAGTATATATACAAAGTTTTATTTGTTATCTCTATTTAACTTAATAATACAATGAGTGGCATTAATGCCCCATAGAATTTAATAAATTTAAAATATAACTTCCTAGCTCTTCATCTTGATTGGTCCAAGAGACAAATACACTTTTTTGATCATCGTCTTCACCTTCTACTTTGACAAGTACAGTTTCAACCGATATTGAGCCATCTGTAAACGTGAATGACCACTCCGGGAGCTTTTCAATCATAAGTGAATGTAGCTTATGGGCAGTTGATAATGACGATCCTGGATCGTGGAGGTGAACAGTTGAGGTAAACCTAATGACGTGTCGATTGATTCCTGCTTCTTTACAAGCCTCATCCACATCCATCAAACATACGGAACTGTCTTTCATTACAAGAACACCATGCAGTGTTCGCCGTCGTTTCGGATCAGGGGGTAAAGCGTTAAACTTTTTCGCCTCGGCTTTTAATAGTGACAGAGAGACATCTACTGGAATTTTAACGGCGGTATTTATGACACACGTTTCCCCATTAGCGGGATTGTAACATTCTATATTGAACTCTTGTTTTATTTTGTTTTTCAGAAACTCCATCTTTGCCGCTTCCCCGTGTACAAGCAGCACATTTTGTGGTTCACAATATTGTATTAATTGCATAATGCCTTTAGCATCGGCGTGTGCAGAAAACGACATGTATTCTACGGACATTTTTACTTCGACTACTTGCCTATTTTCAAACTCGATCTTTTTAGCACCGTTTAAAATTTTATGACCGACAGTACCTTGCACACAAAAACCAGGCATAATTGCCATGTTATTTTCGTTAGGTGCCCATTTTTTAAAAATGGTTAAACTCAGACCGGCATGCAACATACCAGGAGTGGCAAATACCACCATGGGACCAGGGTTGTCGATGTACTGACGGTCAAAAGGCTTTATGTGTTTGAAATCAAACATGTTGCGCTGCACGAATGTTTTTCGTATTTTTTGGTTTGTCCATGTAATGAACATTTTGTAGTAATTATTAGCCTTCTCAGTCAAACCTAACGCAAAGTACACGGGTACTCTTAAGTTCATCCTTTCCCAATAAGTCTCTAATAATATGCACAACTCTTGTGCTCGGCCTAAAGCAAAGACCGGTATTAGAACTTTACCGCCACGATCAATGCACTCGTGCACTTTTTTTAAAAAGTCCCGTTCGCGACACCTTTTAGAATCCCGAATTGTAGTTGCATATGTTGATTCGGTTATCAGTAAATCGGGCCTACACTTATCAATCCAAGCAGCTCCCAAGTGACGATCTGGTGTCATATTGTAATCGCCCGTGTAGACCACGGATTGAGAACCAACACGAATCCAAAACATTGCTGCTCCCAAAACGTGACCGGCGTAATACGCTTTTATCTCTAACTCATTATCAACCATTACAGACTGATGTAATGTAACTGCCACAACTTTTTTCATGCAATCTTTTATCATTTGAGACGTAAAAAAATTGCTGTCACCCTTTTTCTCTACAGACACTTTTCGCATGTCTTCCAACAGTATCGGTGCTATCGCTTTGGTAGGGTGGGTCATATAAATCGGTCCTGTGTAGCCGACCATTTCAGACATGTACGGTAACGCACCGCAGTGATCGAGGTGAAAGTGAGAAATTATGACGCAATCGATATAAGATGTAATGGGGCCTTCGCTGCTTATGAAGGAGAAGTCCGGGAATCGCCTTTCATCATTATAACCCATGTGCATGCCGCAGTCTAACATTATATTTTTACCGCCCATGGATAACAGTATACAACTACGACCCACATCTTGTCCTGCACCCAAAGGTGTTATTTTTATTTCTGGCATGAAGTTTAGTTGAAATTTTACAACACAAAAATAATACTGTTTTGCAGGTTATGTTTACAAAAGTACAACCTTGCCGTCAACTACAGCTTCTTACGTTGTTGCCAGTTGCAATTAAAATTTTTTGTATATACATGGTGTTCCAGACCACTCGTTTTTTAACTGGGGCTTGAAAATTTTTAATAAATACAAGACTTGGGTTATGGGAATGACGTCGTCATATAATGGTGTAATGTTTAGCCTCTTGTAAATTCATATTGTGGCATTTCCACTGAGGTAAAGTTGCGATTGCAACCTAATTATTGTTAATGAACATTGCCAATTGTTCTGGTAACAGGGGAATATTTTATTTGTATGTTGTACAATCAAATTTTTTTAAATTCGTAAAAGCCGTTACACTTTCGTTACCGGTAGCCTGTGAAGTTGTTGTGGATTGTCTCTTTTGAAATTTTGCCTTTTTAACTTAAGTGTTTGTGTGTGTTTTTATTATTTGACGGTATTGGTACCACAGTTTTTTATGCTTCTAACATTTTCTTGTAGATGCCAACAGAAAAAGATAACGATTCTGTTCAAGTAGCAGTTCGAATCCGTCCCTTAATCGATAGCGAAATTGGTCGGGGATGTAGAGACATTTTAGAAGTATTTCCCGCAATACATCAAATAAGGATTAAAGATTCTGACCGTGCATTTACATTTAATCATGTTTGTGACAGTATGACTTCCCAGATGTTATTCTATGGCATGTGTGTCAAGCCTTTAATTGATAACTTGTTTAAAGGATACAATGTGACCATCTTAGCATATGGACAGACGGGATCTGGGAAAACTTACTCAATGGGAACAGCGTATGATGGCGATACAGACGGCGGAATAATTCCTCGCGCTGTCAATGACATTTTTAACTATGCTAATGACAACTTCGCATACGACTTTCATATTACGGTTTCCTTTATGGAATTATATCAAGAAGTTTTATACGATTTGCTCACTGCGAAATCAAGAGAGCAATCTGTTGTGGAAATTAGGGAAGACCCAAAAGGAGCCATAATTATTCCTGGTCTCACGGCCGAACCTGTTAAGTCAGCTTCTCAGGCTTTGGACTTGCTACTAAAAGGTTCAAAGGGTAGGGTAACGGGTTCGACAAACATGAACACACAAAGCTCTCGCAGCCACGCCATTTTCACCATAAATATCTTGATGCAGCAAAAAAGTGATAGGTAAGATTAGGTTTAAAATTGAATAGGCGAGCACTTATTTTTTTTTAGTAATATGAATAAGACTGCCAAATTTTATTTGGTCGATCTCGCTGGGTCCGAGCGATCGAAAAAGACTGGCGCAACAGGTGTGGCGTTTCGAGAGGGCGTCAATATTAATAAAGGATTGCTGGCATTAGGCAATGTCATTTCCGTGTTGGGAGGTGATAAACAACAATCCTATGTTAGCTTTCGGGACAGTAACCTAACTAGGCTTCTAAAAGGTACCTTTTGTCCTTCCTATATTGAATATCGTTAGGAGAACCAGATGAATTTGTTGTCGATTCCATCTAACCGTATCAATCTCATCTGTAGATTCCTTGGGTGGTAACAGTATTACACTAATGATTGCCTGTGTGAGTCCGGCGGATTACAATTTGGATGAGACTATTTCAACCTTGCGTTATGCAGATCGAGCGAGACAAATAAAGAACAAACCAGTAGTGAATGAAGATCCAAAAGCGGCCGAGATCAATCGACTTAATAAACTGGTTGCGCAGCTGAGATTGGAATTAATTGGTCAAGGTAGGCATAATTTTGAGCATACTGTGGCTAAGACAGTTGTACTCTACAGGTGGTCCCATCATTTGTCAGGCAGAGCTTGAACAACTGAAAAAAGATAACGAGCTCTATAAAACTAAGATAAGGGCTTTAACTGAGCAATTATCAACAATTCTGGGTGATAAGACGACTCTCTTCGAAAGAGTGATGCTATTACAGGCGGCAAATGAAAGAATAACCCAAAAATTGCGCCAATTGCAGGACGAATATAACACCACTATTAACAATCTCTGCGTGGATGACATAAGCTCCGAAGTTCTTAAAGAACAAGTGACAAAGTTGCACTCGATTCAAAACTTATTTTCGGAGTTGTACTCGGAAACTCAAAAAAGTGACGAAGAAATTCGCAAGCACGAGCGTTGCTTCACCAACGCGAGTTCTGAGCAAGCGAACTTGGTTGTCTCCGAAAGTGAATTTTGCAAGAGACAAGAGAGCCACACAAAACAACAGTTGGCCTTGAATGTTGAACTCCAACAACTCACAAAAGAGTTGGCCATGAAGGAATATTTGGCTGAGCAAATGTTGATCAATAACAACCACATTATTGATTATGACGCGGTTACCGAAAATGAGAATAAAGTTGCAGCACTACAAAAAGAACGAGATGACCTGTTACAACAACTGAAAAATGTTCAAGCGAACGAGGGGGGCAAGAAGATCGCAGAACTTAGAAGAAAGCGTGTTCAAGAACTTGAAAGAGAGATTCAAGATCTGCACAAAAAGGTAATTATACTGGTTTAATACAGAGGGATATTTTTAAGAGAATATGTACACAAATTTCCTTATGTATCCTTTTAAATAGTACACTCATCGATCTTTTCCATTGACTGCTACTCCAGCTCTTCCTTCTTTGTTTACACTACTCCAGCAATGTATCATTTCGTCATTCTCCTTTATATCCTCTCTGAACGCATCCTTCTGGTTCGTGTTTTTTGATGTCCGTCCATCCGTGTGTCCGTCACACATACTCCTTCTAAACCACTGAACAGATTTTGGCGATATAGGACTCATTTGAAAGGGCTTGGTCCAAGGATTCCTTGCATACCCATATTTTTTGCGCATGCGCAGTGTCAAAAATTTGGTTTGACGCATGTGCGATGCTAATCTTTTTATTTATGAAGATATTTAAATGAAACTTTATACACGGTGTCCATTTTTCGAGTGCCACTATGGGGATCTCCCTTATCTTAAGAGATAGAAAGTTGGTTAAATTGGGGCAAAGTTACAAATTTCCGTGCTGAATAAAAATCTGAAAAGAAATTTGAAATATCTTCAATAGTTTAAAAGATATCGCAAAAAAATGAAAATGTCTGATTTTAATTTTTTTTTGATAAACTAATCGTTGTAGACATTTCTAATTGACACATTATTCGGACACTGTAATGGAGATTTCAAATATGGCGTCTTGTTTTTAATTACTTTCAAGATGACGGAGAAACACGTGGCAACTTTAGTTTTTCTTCTGGACGCCATATTGAATTTTGACATTTTGGGATTACGTCTTTTTTTCTCTTTACAACGATATCTCACACATGGTGGTTCAGTATCACATTTTTTCTAAAAATACAATTTTTAATTTTTTGAGAAGAGTGCTTTGGAAAAACAAAACGTTCTTTTGTTGTAAACAAAAGTTTGACAGTTTGATCCATCTGTCTGGTTGGAGTATTGTAAGAGAATTAGCATTCTTCTCAAAAAATTAAAAATTGTATTTTTAGGAAAAATATGATACTGAACCACCATGTGTGTGATATATCGTTGTAAAGAGAAAAAAAGACGTAATCTCCAAATGTGAAAATTCAAAATGGCGCCCATAATAAAAACTAACGTTGCCACGTGTTTCTCCGTTATATTGAAAGTTATTAAAAATAGGATGCCATATTTGAAATCTCAATTAAAAAGTGTCCTAATGTGTTAATTAGAAATGTCTACTACGATTAGTTTATCATAAAAAAATTAAAAACGAAAATCAGAAATTGTCGTTTTTTGCGATATCTTCAAAACTATTGAAGATATTTCAAATTTCTTTTCAGATTCTTATTCAGCACGAAAATTGGCAACTTTGCCCCCATTTAACCAACTTTCTATCTTTTAAGATAAGTGAGATTCCCATAGTGGCACTCGAAAGATGGACACCGTGTATGTAAACACTACGAATATAAGTAAAATTAACGACATTTTCAAAATGTTTTTGCTCATGTGCAATGCCAACTTTCTTATTTATGAAGGCATTTAAATGAAACTTTATACATAGGCATTTGGCATAAAGACAAATCTTTGCGCATGCGCAATGCCAACTTCCTTATTTACTGAAGTATTTAAATGAAATTTAACATCGGTCTTAAAATTTGGTTTTGCACATGCGCAATGGCAACTTTATTATTTACGAAAGCATTTATAAGCGTTTCATGAAGAGAATGGGACAGCATTAACAATTAGGAGGAAAATACGTCTTCGTCATTTATGTTTGCATATGGACTTTTAACTTGTTTTCATTTAAGTTTCATCTTGCATACAGTTATTCCCTATTCTTTTGCATGGGCCATAGTGCTAAAGCTGTCATCGGCGGAGTTACTGTTTTATTAGCCAACAGTAGGTAATTCCCATTCCTTTTCCAGATCACCGAACAAGCACGATTAATAAAGCTGAAGCAAAAAGACGAACAGAAGATAATTGTATTAAACAACGAAATACAGCAAATGAAATCGAATAAGGTAAAGCTAATCAAAAATATGAAACAAGAATCTGAGAAATTTAGGTCGTGGAAAGTGGAACGCGAGCGCGAACTGCTCAAACTGAAAGAGCAAGATCGTAAACGCTTAAATCAAATTGTCAAAATGGAAACCATTCACAGTAGACAGCAGAACGTGTTAAAAAGAAAGGTCGAAGAAGCGGCCGCCATTAACAAACGTTTGAAGGACGCCCTGGCGTTGCGGAAGAATGTACAGGATCAGAAGAGTTCGGGCAAAATTGAAAAGATCGAGTTGTGGCTGCAGCAAGAATTGGATGTCGTCGTCAATACCGCTTTTGCCGAAGAGACGCTGACGCATTTGTTGGAAGATCGTGCGACGTTACAAAAGCAGTTGGACAGTTTGAAAGAATTGTGCTCTATGGGAGATAGTGATGAAATTCGGCAACTGCAAGACGACATTGATTTTCGCTGTACACAGATTCAGGATCTTCAACAGAAAGTATTGGATTCAGATCAAGGTATGTGTTCCAAGAGAGTAGCTTTACACAAAAAGTCATAGGTTTGTTACTGTTACTAAATAACAAAGTGGGCTTTTAAGATCATAAAATCCTTACATGCGTAGTATCTATACACGGTGTCCATTTTTCGAGTGCCACTATGGGGATCTCGCTTACCTGAAGAGATAGAGAGTGGGTTAAATGGGAGCAAAGTTGCGAATTTTCGTGCTATCTGAAAAGAAATTAAAAATATCTTTAGTAGTTTTGAAAATATCGCAAAAAAACATTATTCAGACACTTTTAATTTTTCGGGAAGAGTGCTTTGGAAAAACAAAACGTTCTTTTATCGTGAACAAAAGCTTGACAGTTTGATCCATATGTCTGGTCGGAGTGTTGGCAGGGAACTAGAGATTTTCATCTGAATAGAATTGAACCTTCGTTTTGCAAGAAAATTATAATTCAAATTAGAACAAAATACTTAAGGATAAATAATATTTTCGCAATAAATCTAGCACAAACGTAAATTACACTACTGGAAATAAGTCAACCTTTTGTTCACAACAAAAGAACGTTTTGTTTTTCCAAAGCACTCTTCGCAGAAAACGAAAATTGTAATTTTAGGAAAAATGTGTTACTGAACCACCATGTGTGATATATTGTTGTAAAGAGAAAAAAAGACGTAATCTCAAAATGTCAAAATCCAAAACGGCGCCCATAAGAAAAATTAAAGTTGCCACGTGTTTCTCCGTCATCTTAAAAGCTATTGAAAACGGGATGCCATATTCGAAATCTCCATTAAAAAGTGAGTAGATAAGCAATGTATGTTCTGAAACAGGAAGTGACGTCACGCCAATGAGAGCTCTGTATTTTGGTCACGTGGTAGGTGTTTGACGAATGGGATCGCTTGAGTCGGCCATTTTGTTTCGTCACGAAAAGGCTGATAAGAGCATGCATTTTCTGAAACAGGAAACGCGTCATAGTTTGTGAAATATTTGTCTGAAAAAAAGGCTGCGTCGAGGATTTGAACCGTCGATACGCAAATTACGAATCTCCCGCCTTAACCATCTAAGTTAGGCGAGGCTTTGAGATATGGGGGCCGATTCTAACTGATTTCAACGGTCGAAATAGAATTTCGACGGCGCCATGACACCAAACTTCTACTCTTAGGGTGTAATAGGAAGTTTATGTTTCTTTAAGTTTGCTCTTATATTTTGCTAAGTTGGCTGTCTGATTTTGAACTATTTTAAACTTTATAAACAAAACCTTATCTTCGACCCTAACCCTACAGTAGCTACAATCGTACCTATTATTATTTCTCCATGAAGGAAATTAAAATGGTTTTTTGTTGGGATGTGATTTTAGTCTCCGCCATTGTAAGATACGTAGGTAAAAGTAAAGCTAAACAAAGCAACTGATAAAAAATGTAAAGTGTACCAAAACACAAAATTGAGGTTAAAACCACGTGCGACTTTCCGAATAACAAAGCGCGCACTGTCGCTATCCCTTCTATTTCGACGTTGAAATCGTAATTTCAACCACTCTAGTCTAGTTGAATTTATTTTCAACGGTAGAAAAGTTATGACGTTTCAATGACGTATATTAGTAGTTCATGATAATACCGATAGATGGTTACGATCGCAATTTCGACGCAACTACTGAAATTTCAACCGTCAAAATCAGTTAGAATCGGCCCCATGAACGTTTAGCAGTTCAAGTATTGTTAGAATGGCGGGGGCGAGTTGTAGAAGGGTATAACGCGAGGGTGCGTCGCCGATAGGGGCTAGGGGCTATTTGGTGACGTCAAAATGATACGCATCTAACGTATAGGAAACTGTAATTTTCAAATTGGGCGGCATATGGCGTTAAAATAAATACATCTCTGAGCTACGGAGACATATTCGTTTTATTGGGTATATTTATAATGCACAATGAGCAAGCGGACGTGAATCGATGTCTTCATTTGGGGGGTAGCGCGGGTTTCTCTTCAATGACTGCTTGCGTTAGAAATTTACGAATAAAGTCGGCCGTTTATAATGTACATTTAGATAGCAAACATGTGAACTATCCATCCGCTTGATTATTTTATAAAATCATCGTTCCATCCGTTTGAATAATAGGTACAGTCGAACTTCAATAAGTCGAACTTCCATAACTCGAATTTTTGATAACTCGAATCAACTTGGTTGGCAATAGCTGCAACAGTAAGGCGTATGTTCAATTTTTTCCTTGATAACTCGAACTCCTATTACTCGAATTTCTTGATAACTCGAACAAATTAAGTGCGCACGACTTTGATAAGTCGAATTCTGTGAAGTCCCTTAACTGTAACCGTTCGTTTTATAGCTTAACCTTGAAGACAGTGCGTTTTCAGCATTACTCGTCAAAGTTCGTTGGTTGTTGCGCGGAATTTCTATACAGGTGTGCGTGTTTTATTAGTTGTTTCAACGCGAATATTCGTTAATTTGATTTTCTTGTTGACGATGTCATTAAAACGCACTTTAAAAACTTTATCTATTGACGATAAATATAACTTTTAAAAGAAGTGGAAGGTGGGGCAAGGAAAAAATATATGGCTGTGAAATATGGTGTTCCGGCAAGTACAGTATCCACCATTATAAAAAATAAACAAACAATTATCATACATAGATTGCAGTATGTCCACTATTGAACTTTGTAATGCATTTCCTTTCATAATAAATATGTTTATTTCATACTATCTAGTAATCGCCGCTTTCCCAGACCCATTTGAGTCTGGTAAATCGTATTTTACCAGACTGAACATTTTTACCAGACTGGAAATGTTGCCTAGCAACATCAACTGACGTCCATATAAACCTGTATATTAATGTGTCAAACTACAGTCAGATCAAACAAATCAAGTGATCGACTTTTGCTTTTATTTGAATGCGTACAACATTCTAATCAAAAATTGTATGGCCTTTTAAAAGAAAAAGAGCAGTATGAAATAAAATGTTTTACTTTATTTGTATGTTAAATCAGTTAACGTTACTCGTTTCGAAATTCCTGCCTCAGCTACGCTTCGGCAGTAAACATCTCACTCGTTAACGTAAACCTTGATTTACCATACTCATATGTAAATAACTATTACGTAAATAATACACGGTATATGCATACTATGTGTTTTATTCAATAAGTCAAAGTTTTGATAACCCGAATTTTTTTTCTGTCAAGTCATGATTTGAGTTATCGAAGTTCGACTATTTATAAGAATTATCTGTTTATCGTTAAGGACGCAAAAAGGGTTCCGCATTATAAATACCACTTTATCGCATCATTTGTTCTCAATGTGTGTACGAGCAGCAAAATGACATCGACGCCGACGAGGACCAATATTTCAAAGTGTGAGTGGTTGTTAAACGAAATTCGAGAGTATGTGCCAAACGTAAGTGTTTTAATAATTTTTTTAAATGGTTTGCAATTATTAGTTTTTAGGGGTACACGATCATGTACCCGTGTGCACATAATCTGGTTTATGATGAGAGGCGCGACATTCTACTATTTATAGACCCCTTTTTTGGAGATTACTATATATGGGTTTTTACGAATTCAGAACCCTCAGGAAGGGGAGTAGCATTTGTGCGTGTAGGACCGTAAGTATAAAAAAAGTTTGCGACCTGTTTGCATTTTTTTTTTTTCGCAGAAGATACCAATCACCTCGTCAAAGGAACTGCTACAATCAAAAGCGTTGACATCAGTCGTCCTCCTCGTCCTTCAAAAAAACTAATGCAGAAGGTGCGCCCTAATGGCCCGTATGAATAAAAGTAAGCAAATGCTTATACTTGCAAAATTCAAAATAAATACTCGTAAGTGCTCCTTCGCACTGGGCGACTTAGCAGCGCTTCTAAGCAGAAGGACAGGACGCAGTGCAGCGCTGCTAAACCATGCTAAACAGACCAGTATGAAGGGGCAGTTACGAGTATTTACTTTGAATTTTCCAAGTATAAGCATTTACTTACTTTTATTCATATGGGCCATTGTGTTAATTAGAAATGTCTAGAACGATTAGTTTACTATGAAAAAATTAAAAACAAAAATCAGAAATTTTCTTTTTTTTGTCATATTTTCAAAACTATTGAAGATATTTTAAATTTCTTTTCAGATTATTATTCAACACGAAAATTCGCAACTTTGCCCTCATTTAACCAAATGTCTATCTCTTAAGATAAGCGAGATCCCCATAGTGGCACTCGAAAAATGGACACCCTGTATTTTTGGTTTTTTATGGTGAAAACAAAGTTGATGATGGTTGATTGGAGACCAAACGTCAAACTTAAAATTTAAAAGTAGCATCTTGTAGACGAAAAAAAAGGGGCCATACTAATGTGTCATTTATTTCAGAATGTAAAAAATAAAAACGATTTTGCAAAAATTCGTTTTTTTCGGATATCTTCGAAATTAGTCGGAATTTTTTCAGTTTCAAAACTGCATTTTGTTAAGCATCAAAATACGCAACTTTTCCCAATTTAAACTACCCACCTATCTCTTACAGTTCTCGAGAGACCCATGGTGGATCTCAAATTTGAATCAGCCTGTATACTACACTTTTTTAGAGAACCTTAAATATGTTTGTGCAGGAAGATCGAAACGGTCCGTTCACTTAGCTACCGATTGGACTCATAAATAAGCCCAAAATTAAACCAATTTTTTTGCGATTATATAAAAGAGCACTCACGTATCTCGAACGGTTTAAGAGATATGCATTTTGAAATGGACCCTTGCATCTCTAAATCTTTAAGAGAAAAATTGACGTATGTCAAAAACCGTGACAGATAGGTACGCAAATCTTAAATGGGTTAAATTCGGAATAAAATGGCGCAATTAATTACCAAAAATATACCCTCTTGAGCCTGGCCCCTTGACCATGCAAAGGTACGCCACTGATCACAAATTAGAATATAGTCAACTTTTTATAATTTTGTAGATAGGTACCATAAAAGAACTTGCAGAAATTGTAGATTTGAATATATAATCACTAATCAGTGTTCAAGACAAAATTTCCAAACTAAAGAAGATATTGAAAATTGCGCAAAACCGTTTCGGGGGTATCGAGGGGGAACCAGAGTGACGTTATGAGTGACAACCCCCACCCTTCCTTAACCTCCCCCCCTCTTCAAAAATCCTAAATGGCAACCCCATACCTTGTGACACATCATTGGAAAGCTACTGAAAAATGCTTTCCAGTGGTAGGTACCAATAAAGTCAATATTCATTCATTAAGTCAATTTAACAAAAAAACTAAATGTTGATATTGAGGGATTTATGGCAAATTGGCCAAGAACTTCAACCTGAGCTGCTTCATTAAGCAATCTTGGTTGCTTTCTTTTTTTATTGACTTACATACAGCTGAAGGTTTGGACATAATATTCATTTATGGTTCCCAAAATATGCTTTCAGTTTATAGCTCACGTGCATTTTTCTGGATTTATTTTAAAGTGCTCAGTATTTATATTTTACAATATAGGTATGTTAGGAATAGGTCTTATTTCAAATACAAATATTTGCTTCTCCTGGTTTATGATGTCAAACTTTTTACTACCTACTACATTTCATTAACCATTTTGTTGCATCTCTAGAAAATAAGTCTCGTACGCGTTGGGAAAACGTACAAACGATGGGCGACGCAAAATCTGCTCTCAAGGTATTATTCGACATGGTTGCGAATAAAGGACAGCAAGAGTTAGGCTCCGTAAACAAATATAAGGACTTGGAACGGAATTTGCAGGACATACAAGAAAAATGTGCATCTTTGGAAGAGGAAAAAAAACATTGGGAATTGGAGCATCGTCACGACTTGGCGCAATTGGCTAAAGAATACGAGGAGAAAGTGTCTGTATTGCTAAGACAATTAAGGCGAATGCCTCTGCAGGGTATGTAGCTAATCTAAATTTCCAACGCTAATTAATTGTTTTGTTACTACAGACATTAATGAAGAATATAAGGAACGTTATAATATTCAGCAATTAGAATTAGAAAAACATGAAGAGGAAATTGAGAAATTAAAACAAATGCTAGAGCAATCCGAAGCCGAACGCAAGCACTCTGAAGAACTATTACTACAACAAGTAAAAGACAATGACGAGATGCGCTATCGTTTAGATGAAATTAAGGTAAGTTATTTGTGAGCCCGCAAAGAGTTTATTTATTCGTTTAGGAACATGCTGAGACTGTGTTTGAAAATACCGCAGAAGAAAAGCAAAAAAGAAGTAACGGTGGTAAAGATACACTAAACATCACGGTTGAGGATGACATAGAGAACGACCCTGACTGGAGAAAAACGCCATTGGGAAAACGTGTTCAAAGCATACGCAATTTATCTATGGCAGGTGAATAACTGCATATTAAAGTATCGTTTTTGAGTACGTGTTTCAGTTCTACAAGCGCCAAGATTGACAGAAAAAAGAAACTACGAAGGAGGATGTAATTGCAAAGGAACTTGCAGCAAAAGAAATTGTGGCTGTAAGCGGGCAAGTGTCACTTGCTCCTCTCAGTGCAAATGTTCGACAGACTGTGTGAATCAAGGCACCAGTGAAAATGTGAGTTTTTTGTTTAATCTTGCATTGTTACGTTTTGCTATTTTCAGGAGCAGTCGGTAGAAGATACTTTCGGAGACAATTTTAAAAGGCCAAGGTGAGATCTTAAATTTTTACCCAAATATAGTGATCGCCAATACGCAAGCCCCTCAATTCAGTCCCTTTATCATAATTAACTTGAATTTTGGCGATCACAATCACATGTTATAACAAGTATTTTTAATAGCAATTCAGTGCCTCTTAGTGTGTATAGAAGCGATATTTGGATAGATGATTTTTAGCTATCAAGTCTTGGAACATAAGGTTCGATTCCTTTCTCCCCAATGATACTTACGCCGATTGGAGAGAGTAGATATAACAGTAATCGTTGATGTTACAGATCCATTAATGACAGTACGACCGATAGTGCTGTGAATGATGAGAGTCGAATAAATTTTCGTCCACGAAGAACAAAAAAAGTATTTCCTAGTTTAGTACGTGATTAATTGTAAATATATTTTATGTAAATTATTTTTATATAGTAAAGTCGATTTCAACTTTAGTAATGTGATGGCTCATCAAGGGGTAACTTTTTGCTTAAAGGTTTGTTTATCTTCTGAATAGGTAAGTAGTACTAGAAGTAATCTCAAAATGAGAAGTACATCGTGACGTCATTTGCGCAAAGCATGAAAATGTGTCCGGGAGAGTCCATGATAGCTCCTAAGGGGAGCGCGCGCGTTGACATTTGTGCATTGCCTCACACAGCAAATGTACTTTCAAACCTCAATTAAAATACCTTATGATACGCCACTGGTGGCAACAATACGCGCAGAAAGTGATGACGTCACGATGTACTTCTCATTTTGAGACTACTCTAGTAGTTTGTGCAGCCGTGAAAACGTTGCGCACATTGCGCCTAATTTGTTGCAGGCGCAGTAATCGTTTCAAGTCGACTATCGTTTGGAGGAGTCAAAAGTTCTGTTACTGATTAACCAAGATGATTGCCCCTGTTTAGGAAAATGCGCGGGAAAACCTTTATCTAATTCACAGGGGTGTTCGACCAGGCAGAACTTAGGCACACCAAAGGTCTATTGTGCCTGCGCCCTTTCTCAACTAGGTTCAGAGCCCGTACCTCCAATAAAGGATAGGACTCTGTTTAGCCTAAGTTGCTTTACCCTCTTGGGTTCCACATAACTGTCGCCTGAGGTCTGTCTCTGATAAAGGCATCACAGTGATAGACCACTGACCTGCACATGGGCTTTCCTACAAGCCCAAATGATGTGCAGGTGATAGTTGACCATCCACTGTCCCGTAAAAAAGGACACCGATGATTGTCCTAATTTCGCTTCTATTTAGTTTTAGAAGATCCACATTACGCTAGTTCACCCTGTATACCTTTTTTTTTCGTTACAATACACTCTAAAGTTAGCCACCTTAACAATGTTCGGTTGTCAACGTTTTGTAGCTAAGTTCGTGTGATTTGTTGAATCACATAACCTACAACTGTATGTATACTTTTTTAGTTTTTGTAATTCACAATTTCTATTCAAAATGATGCAACAATACATCAAAGAACTTGAACAGGTTTTGAATTACTGCGTGTTAATTTAGTGTACATGTTTGTCTCTAGGAACCGTTCGATGCCGAAGAGTTTGTTGAACGTTTAGCCTGGAGAACCATAGCCGAAACTAAAAAAGAAGGCGAAGAGCACTTCAATCCGACCCTACTGCACGACTCCTTTGTACAAGCCATTAAAGATTTGACCCTATTACAAGAACGACAGCAGAAAAAGTGTGAAAGATTGGAGGCCGTCGTGCGACAAGACGAACTTGTCTTTTTTCAAGAAATCCAGGCATTGCAGGAAAAAAATAAGGTAAACGCTGTTTAGACAGTGAGGTGGCGTTTTACATTGATCGAATTAGGGTGCTGTGCATACGTTTCAAGAGTTGGACGGAAAAATAAATAACGTCGCCACCAAGGTTCTGCATTTAGGTGACCAGTTGGATAGTGTCAATGGACCACGGTCTCGAGTCGTAGAAGCCCAACGACTTATGTCGCATTTAAACGATTTTATAGCCACAGAACCGGCCACATCAATATTTAACGATCCTTTTAAAGTAGGTTCTTGCTAGAGACATCTCTCAATTTGAAAGTTTATTTTTAGATAGATGAGAGTGCTGATGTTATACAGAAATTACACTTAATCGCCCAAGATTTACCTACCCCGAAGTAAGTACAATTTTATTTTTGGCAACTTGTTCTACTGTATTAAGAGTCTACTGTATCAATTCATTATTCATTTGTTCTGGTAGATTTGAAGACGCAAAAAAGAAAATTGAACGTAAATATGATGAAACGGAAAGAGTGTTGATTGAAGACTTCTGTACAGCGCATAAAAATCATGATTTTAAACGTATGAAGGAGATTTCGAATGTGTTGTCGCAGTTCAAAGGTTTCTCACAATGCGTTGATGCATTTATTGAGCAAAGTCAAGCTGTAAGAATTACTTCACTTGTTTTAAACATTGTCTGCAAGGTAGATTATAGGGTTGCTTAGCTAACAAGGATATGTTTGTGTACCTTCTTCCACTTTGTAAGGAGAATTATGAGATTATCAAGCTCGTATTTAACAACACTGAGCAGGTGATGGCGAAGTTTGTACTTAATATCTATCATTTAAAACTGCAAGAACATATTTCGGAGCAGCTATCTCAAAATTTGGATACATACACATATTTACGTCGACTTTATGATCTATACTCAAAGTAGGTGGTGGCTTTTGTTGTTCAAATATTGTACTTTGTTACTTGTAGAACAAATCAGCTTTCAAATGATCTAGCAAATTTTAATATGGGAAGCGATAAAAATTATTTAAATAAGCTAACTAATAAAATCTTTCAAAAGTACATGGATAACTATTTAAGGTTTGTATGTAAGTTGTACATATCAAGCTATAATCATTTATAGTTTAGAGTTAAAGTGCCTACGTGAACGAAGTTCGGCAAATTTGCAAAAGTATTACGAATCGAAAAATCATCAGAAGAAACAAATTCAGTCGGGCGGGTGAGATTTTACAAAAATAGTTTTTATGATATAACAGAGACACAGTTTTCAAGACTTACGACGTGATCTACAAGCGGTGATCGGAACGCGTGCAAACATTAACATAGCTCAGATTGAGAATTATGGAGGTGAAACCTTTCTATCGGAAGAGTTGGCAATCACAATCCTGCAGGATACTAAGCACGCATTTCAACGATGTCAGATGGTAGTTTCTTTGTTTATTTAGTGGGTCGGTGTAATCTGTTATAGAGAGAAATTTCCTATTTATTTTACTACGTTTACTAGGTATAATATAAGTTTTACAATACTTTACTCATTGGGATACTCTATTGAAAAATTCTTCCCAGTCTTTATTGATATAAATAGATACCTAATAGTGAAGTGTATATAAATGTAAAAAATTTGGCATTGCACATGCGTAAAAACCTACATATGAAATTTAATTTAAATAACTTCATAAATAAGAAAGAATTGCACATTTTCGCACGGGATCCTTGCACCAAGTCCTTTCAAATGAGCCCCATGTTGAAGTAGTATGTGTGACGGACGGACGACATCGTGCAGCCAATAGCAATTTTTCTCTTTTGACAAAAAAAAAACGTTAAAAACAATGAATATTTTTTTATTTTTTTTTGTTTTGAATATTTATGCATTTATAAAACACTTAAAAATTTAAGTGTGCATTTTTAAGGGTAGGTAGCAAGGAATGCATGGAAATAAGTAATAAATGTTGATTTTCCTTCCGTTACCTTTTATCTCTTACAACAGATGTTTTACGTGAATACATTTAAACAGGCAGAGATGCACAATAAAAGTACGCCTAATTTGGTTCTTAATAATGTAAACTACAGTAGCGGTCAAAAGTTTCTCACAATATAGTTTGTCAGCAATAACTTTTCAATGGTATTATAGCATAAAATTATCAGATGTCAACAAATAATTTAAAAAAAAATGAAACATCCCTACAACAAATAGTGGCCGACTGACTCCAATTGTTTTTCATAGCACTCTAAATAACATTAATTAATTAATATTTTGTTGCCAACCGTAGTAAGTGCTAGTGTTACAAAGAAAAAATCAAATTGTGATAAACTTTCGGCCTCTACTGTATAAAATAGTCTCTCTATAATAGATTCGCTCGACCTCTTGTTGTGTTGCCAGATCTGCTCTTTGTGCAAGTTTCCCTTGTGAAGAGGTCATTCTGGAGAAACCAGAAACTGTGATACAGGGGAACACACTAGTTTCCTGTAAAGCTGTTACAGAATAGGGAATTGTCTCTCTGTAACAGTTTCAAATGACAACATTTAACATGGTCTCTATGTTAATTTCAGCTCTCCAGGGCGGACGAACGAGCTTCGAATGCAACACAGCTTCTCGATTGCTTACTAGTGGCTCTCATTACCGAGCATGTGGATTATGCCCTAGAAATAGGTTTACACGCAATTCCGGTTGCAGAAGGGCCACGGACTCCGCCTACAATTTATTTTTTTTCGATTGTGCACCAAAGCAATATTATTATTCATTTATTTGAAAAGCAGTTTTCCGATTTGGTTGTGCCGTTAGTAATGTAAGTTTAACAATTGATTTTTTTGGAATTTTTTTAATAATCGCATCACAGCAACACGTCAAAGTATAACGACTGTCTTCATAAGAAAAAATTTGTGCTGGATGATGTGGAACGCAAAATCAACACCGGTTTAGATCGGTCATTAACCGCAATCGTGACTTGGGTCAAATTATATTTACAAGCCGAACAGAAGAAGAGCGATTTTAAACCAGAAACGGATGACTTCGATACAGTTGCATCTTCGGTAAATTGGGGATGTATCAACTTTAACTCCGAAATTATGAGCTATTTAGGAGCTTTTGGTAACACCCATTTAAGTCAAGTAGGAATGTTAACTGTGTGGTGGAGCGGCGGAATTTAATTGGATTGAGAATCCTCATTCATGAATTATTTAAGAGCTATAGCTTTTCAATCCACTTTTAAAAGGGCAATTAGATGTTGATTGTTGAGGCAGGTACGTAGGTTTCCTCTCTGTAACATTACTCATTTGATATAAAATGACAAGCTAGTTATGGGCTGTGACTTGCGAATGATTTAAATTATTACCTTGCACTATAGGTACTATACAGGGTCATTCTTGACGAGCGTCAGTTAGAAAGATATGGAAAATCTTTGAAAATTAAAGTAAACTGATAAGTTCTTTAAGGGTTTTGGCACATGATGAATTGAACTAAAATATTTTCAAGATGGCGCCACTTTCGGAAATACCGGAAGTAGCCATCAACTTTGTTATTTTAAATAGGGACCCCCTATTTTTTCTACATTTTCAGTTTCTACGTCGCATTTGGAGTACAACGATACCCCATAGTTGACCCTTTACTCCAAGGGCTTCGCCGATATTCAAGTTTTTATGTCAAAAATTGAATTTGCGACGGTAATTTTAAAAATTTATTATTCGAAAACGGTGAGAGATATTGCAACACAGTTTTCAATGCTTTATTAAAGAAAGATCGAATTTTCTTATGGTATGCGTAACAGTCTAAAAAAGTGAGACTACAACACTTTTTCAAAGCTCTCAACTTTTAAATATCCGTAACTCCATTTTTTCAAATGGCACCCCCCATTTTGTTCTTCACCGTTGTTTTCCTTTTTCCCAGACCTTTAATTTAATACAAAATGCCAAAAGCTGCTTTAAACGGTTTCCGAGATATTCCATGTTTTAGATATTTATTGTGGGAAATTGATGTTATTCTTTTGTTTTTATTATGATATTGTTTATTGGTTAAACGCTGCTTGAACTTATACTTCTCGTCAATAATGGCTCGTTTGGGTTACACTAATGAAGATTTTTTGAATTTAATGCACCCGTGTCTGATATTTTAATTTCTCTTTGGTTCATGGTTCATCATTAAGCGATGCAGTTGGATTTGCAGCAAAATACGCCAGTACAGTTATTTCTTGTTCTTCAAAGTCTACCACAGGCTTCCTTTTTTGTATTTTTGTTTGAAAGATACCGTTATTCCTGAAATTTTGTAGTAATTTGCGAATTGTAGCCTCTGTGGGTTGCGCCTTGTGAGGGTATCTTTCGGAAAAAAGACAAAAGAATAACATCAAGCGACTTAATTTTTTTATCAATTTGCCACAAGAAGTAACTAAAACATGGAATATCTCGGAAACCGTTTGAAGCAGCTTTTGACATTTTGTATCAAATTAAAGGTCTGGGAAAAAGGAAAACAACGGTGAAGAACAAAATGGGGGGTGCCATTTAAAAAAATGGAGTTACGGATATTTAAAAGTTTAAAAGTTGAGAGCTTTGAAAAAGTGACGTAGTCTCACTTTTTTAGACTGTTACGCATACCATAAGAAAATTCGATCTTTCTTTAATAAATCAGTGAAAACTGTGTTGCAATATCTCTCACCGTTTTCGAATAATAAATTTTTAATATTACCCCTGCATATTCAATTTTTGACATAAACACTTGAATATCGGCGAAGCCCTTGGACTAAAGGGTCAACTATGGGGTATCGTTGTACTCCAAATGCGATGTAGAAACTGAAAATGTAGAAAAAATAGGGAGCCCCTATTTAAAATAACAAAGTTGATGGCTACTTCCGGTATTTCCGGAAGTGGCGCCATCTTGAAAATATTTTAGTTCAATTCATCATGTGCCAAAACCATTAAAGAACTTATCAGTTTATCTTCATTTTCAAAGGTTTTCCATATCTTGTTAACTGACGCTCGTCAAGAATGACCCTGTATAGACAGCTGACTCATCCGCCATCCGCCAAATCACACTACATATATTTTTCTTTCATTGCAACTTTGGAACTAAATTAGGTATATGATGGCCTAAAAAACAATGCAAATGACTATTTTTTAGTTTTAATACAGTGGGTCACTAATGAATCAATACAGTTACAAGAAATTTATTTGATAAATCAGTGTCGTCTTCAAGTAAATTTAATCAACAAAATATTTTGTGTGTGAATGTATATAACGCTGCTATATATGGGTACTTTCCGGCTAAACGGCTGCACCAATTGAAACCAAATTTGGTACACATATTCATAAACATGCGCAGGTGTGCGGGTGGTACTAGCCACAGCAAATTTTTTTTTTAATTCCCTCTATCGATACGCCAAAGTACATTTTTATGGAGCATATACGAGGGAAGGTGTTTTAAATTTACTACCATAATTTCATGCTAGTGAATGCTCTTGTGGCGGATTTCTTTCGTCGAGTTATAATCTATTAAATTTTCATTGCATCCCTATAATACCTCCAAATCCCACTGACTTTTTGGATGCCTTTACATTTAAAGGAGGACTTCTGTCCCAGTTTGGAACCATTGAATATTGGCCACCTTATATTTGAGTTACTTTTTACACAAAATGTAGAATTTGTTGAAGTTCACATTTCTGGAGTGGGGTCCAAAAAATTGCAATTCAATCCTTGGAAATTCCTAAATTGATACGTAAACCCTCTTTAAAATGTTGTGCTTGTGATGATCAAAGCCTGCTAAATATCTCGTAATTTTGAGTAATTGAGGGGGATATAAATCCAAAAGCGAAATGTCTCGAATAATTCTACCTTTAGGCATGTAAGACAGTGGGACAGTACATAAGATCAATTATAAACCAAATCCAATCAAATATCGACGGTAATAATGTTTCAGCATTATTACAAGATTTTGGCCTCAAGTTACATCGTGTAATTTACGACCACATGCTACAGTTTCAATACAACACAGCAGGTAACCTTTCCTCGTTTGTAGAGAAAGACCTTAGTAATGGCTTGCGTTGTAGGAGCAATGGTGGCAATATGCGATTTAAACGAATACCGTTCGATAACAAAGGTTCTTGGTCCTTTAGTAATGAGGCTGTTCGATACCTTGAACGCTTTGTGTAATTTACTATTGGTAAAGCCCGAGAATCTGCAACAAGTCTGCTCGGAGGATTCACTGGTAAATTGATTTACGCAAAGTAGATAGTTTCGTAACAACTTTATTTTATAGGTGGATCTTGATAAATCGGTCTTAAATAATTTCATTCAGTTACGTAGTGACTTTAAGAGCCAGAAGCAGAATATTTTAAAAGTTTAGTTGTAAACATTTATATATATAAAAAGGTTTTTTAATGTATATTGTGTATACTTATTACAAATGCACTATTTAAAATTAAAAATTAACATAAACTTTCATTCCGGTTGTTGTAAAGGAGTATCCGATGTGTCGAAACTGTTAGTACCATAAAGTGGGCATTCGAGTGGACATCTTCCATTACTCTGCAGTTTTATCGTTATTTACTTAATCGTTCAGTTCAAGTGACTTACATGAAATAGTCGATGCCTTTGCTGTATTTCAAAACTTTTACGTATTCTATCGACTAATCTGTACTGTAGGTTTAACTTTTCTATGCAATCTTGACAAATTGTTTTAGGCAAGTTATCGTATTTATCTATCTACAATGCGCAAACTTTAGTGAGGTAAAATGTTTATATTGAGCACAAAAGGAATTACCGTAATTGGTAACAGGGTGAGTTTCTTAAGGAGTTCTAGTTCTTGAGCTTTCGCACTGTAAAAATGTATAACACTCTTTTTGTATTCCGAACAAAGTCTGCAGATGAAGCCAGTCATGGTGGCTTTGGCGTAGCTACCCATTTTTGAATTACAATTACAATTATTTCTAGTTTTTCGGATTTTTTGAAAGAATGTGTTGAGAAAATTTTTAGAGAACCACCATGATTAATTTAATGTCACTTGCATTCGGTAAAACAGTTTTCTTCATCGTCAAACAGTAGTTTATGTACAGAGTGATTCGTTAGGATATGAATAACAATGGGCGCGTTGACGGATACGTCTTATAATTACATCGCTACTTCTACGCTCTTGACGGAGCAGTCGGTCATTTTTAATTAATGATATCTTGAATATGAAATGGAGATAAAGTTAGCTACTTTGAATTTAAATTTATAAATTGCACATTTTGTTTCATTTTTTTGTCCGGAATAGCAGGCGGATTTGAGTGTTTTCGAAAGAAAGGACTTGGAAGGATTAGCCAGTATTTCGTATAAAAGAAGTTCTTTTTAGGGACTGATTTTTCAATTTTCAGCTCATTTTTTTATACCTACAGATAACGCTTGCCGACTATATCTGTTGGCCGTCACAAGTCCTGGAAATATTTGATTACGCAGGCCATTGAATAAAAAATTAATTTATTCTATGCCCAGGCCTATGATTACAAATTCATAATCATGTGAACATATGAATAATTTTCATAGACGTAAGGCAAACGTTCATAATTTTGATAATTTATTATAATTAAAATACCTAGGGTGCACATGGGCGCCCCATTCGCATTTACCGTCGTTAACCCCCCCGTAACGGATTTATTGTTTATCAATGCCAAATCATTATCGCGATTTAAATTACGAACTTCAAGTGATAATGGTTGGGGATTCCTGATGTGCATTGAATTTAACGGCAGATCCAAAATCATCTCGGAAAGAAAAAGATAGGGTGTGACTTAGATCTTTCTTGTGCGACTTGTATGATCGAGAATATGTATACCCTTAATTAGAGGGAACGTTTATTAAAATTTAAGGGTGGGATACATAATAACTGAAGTATCTTCGCGCCAATTGTCTCATCACTAAAGGGTCCGAGCTAATGCGCCCATGCTAAAGTGGCGGCCTCAAAATGTCATAGTCCATCAAAGTCTGTTAAAGACTGTGAGAAATACTGCCTTTTTTTGTTTACCGCCGCCACCATGTTACATTAATTATCAAAAAGAGGCCTTAAGTATTTGATCTTGTATTAAATAACCAATTATTGGCAATCTAAGTGATCTCCAGTATTTAAATATTTCGTTAACAGCACTCTTAGATGCGCGCCACCCTGTATACTTGTAAAATGCATAAATTTAAAAAACCTTTCTTATTGGAACGAAAATGAAATTAATTTAAAAAGTTGCATAATAATTAAACAGGTAAAACGTTGACGTATAAAGTGTAACGTACGCGTTTAGTTTGTTAGTAAACACCATCCAAGTAAATCGTGTCATTGTATAAAGAATGTCAAGAATGTCATTTATTCAAACACAAACACGATTAATAAGACTAATTTAAGACCACTTTAATCGTGACACACCCAATTTCATTTAGTTAACTTCCTCCCTTTTACCATTTATATAAAGAAGAACGAAACGTGCGAAGTAGTTTCAAAAATTCGAGGGAAATTTTAATTAATAACCGATCATTGATGAAATTTTGAACAAACGGGAATCGACCAATAAGACGAAGTCGTTTCCGCCATTTAAATTTGTTTGTGTTCTTGCGCGGTATTTAATGACTGGGAGGGGTTGAGAAAAATTAATAAAGAAGGGCTAGGCAGTCGTTTGGGTGAAAAACATGAATGGAAATGAGGTGTTTTCCGGTTATTTAGATGTTAAAGTGTCTGCACGATCTCGTCGCGGTTTCACCCCTTGGAAGGTAAACATTTTATCCCAATGTTTTGGCGGTTATTTCTGTATGTAAACAATTGCAGGCATGGCACAAGCAATGGTGCGAGATAAAACGTTTAGATTGTATGGAAAATGGTGCTAAATTAATCTTAAAGACGGCAGCAGAAGGATCAGTTATCAGTTCTGTTATTTTACCTCGTTCCTCTACAGTTTGTCGGATAAAATCGCACACGAAAAGTTTCGCATTCGGTGTATTTACGCTTGGCCGGAATCAGAAACCAATTTTATTTCTCTCGGGTAGCTCGGAAACTGACACACAAAAATGGATGGCATACATTCGAAAGATCTTAATGGTAGCTTCGTATATTCCAGGTAGGCTTTGAATATAAATGCTTGCTCAGTATCTAACCCTTTGTTTAGTTGGCAGCCTAAACTTTCACGTCTCATTAGTCGATAATGATCACTCTAGAGCGGCGGGAGTGTACGGTTTATTTGGCATTTTAAGCGCTAATTCCCAAGAAATCTCAATCAGCGATCCAATTACCGGCGATAACGTAGTCAAGTGGAGCTGGATTAATTTTCATCAATTTCACCTGCAGGCACATACGCATCCTGACGACGAAAATACCATTTGTGTCATGCACACTAGCAAGTACGAGTTGTTTCTTTCATATTTGCTCCATTATAACTTATCTCCTTAGGGAATTCACATCTGGGGCGGGACAAATATATTTTTATTGCGAAGACGGTCCTAAATTACTCGAATTGTTGGTGACACGTGGGAAAAGTCGAAAATTAAATCACCTCTTTGCATCGTCGCAAAGGTTAAGCCAAAGCGAAAGCGATTTAAATAAGTCAAACGACGCATTTTATTCGCTGCGACATTTTAGTAACAGTGATGATTCCGGAGTGCGTGTATCTATTTCTTCAGATGATTATGGATGTCGTATGAAAAGTAAGGTGAGTGTCATACAAATTAGATGTATAATCGTAAATGATTTACATAAAGCACATTTCACTTCTCAGACGTCAAGCTAAAGTGTTTCAATGGATAAATAAAGATTTTGCTAACTCTTTATCAAAGTGCACAAGGCTAACAAAAATGCACTTCACTTCTGGGGCATAAAACTATAACTATGAATTGGTACCACACTATCACAAAAAATCTAAGAATACTACACCTGGTGTGGCTTAGGTGACGAATCATCTACCCCTGCACACAATCTTATTTCTTTCATCTGGTGGTGTTGCTATCACTACTTAGTTGTTTAAGAACTCTACGTTTTCTTCAATTCAAACTCACACAATTGAAACTTTCATCAATAAAATAGTGGTAGTAAATATGCCGAATCAGAGAGGACCGTGAATACTACCTTGAGGTACTCCTATCCTATAAGTATCATACAAAGCTTAAATGTTTATGGGTTGTTTGCAATCTTTTTGAGCTCAAATGTTAACGTTGTCTCATTATTGTAGACGTTAAGCATGAATGGATTGTTATCTAAAACACCTGGTGGAAGTGAAACTGAAGATGACGACACAGACATAAACCAAATCTATATGTAAGTATGAGGAGTGAAGGTGAATGCTATTTTTGTTTTCTATATAACCAAAAAAATTTTGCACAAAAATAACAGTTCCAGTATATTGCTTACATTGTTCTCATGAACATTTTCTATAAATCACAGTGAATCCAAGATACCAAGAGGTGAATCTGGCGTATCTCTAGCTTCTGGTGTATATGAAGAGATTCCCGAACTCCTACCCGATTTGAGTAAACCTATGAATATGACCACCTCGCTTAATATCTACACAAACAGCCACATGATTCATTTATACGAAGATCCCGAAGAAGTAGCGGCCAGTATTTTAAGAAAATATGGAAAAGTGCGTGCTCCACCACCATTACCACCACGTATTTATAGTAATATAGACAAGGACTGTGATATTGCAACTGCGCCAAATCCATCGAAATTATCGACAAATTTCATCGGTAAATACAGGTCACATACGTTACCCGCGAAAGATCTGAGAAGGCTCTCGCAAACTTTCTCTTGCGATTCCGATTACATGGTTATGACACCAAAGAATAAAAAGAAAGCCAAAGATAGTATAGTCGTTGAGAGTGTGTATGTACCGATGTCTCCTATTGCCGCATTAAAGACGAAACTAGAAAATTGTTATATGGTAATGAGCGGGAAAAAATGTTAACGTTTCTTCCTTGGCGTCCATTTAGTACATATCAAATTTTTTTGGAAATATTTACATCTTTTGGTACTGTTGCTCAATTTTGTGAGATGTGGTCGATATGAGCTTTGATCTCAACTTAAAAGTATTATTTTGCGCGCCTATTCTTTTCTTATAGCGAAGTTACACCATTTAAATTGGTAGTGTGATGTTTCTATTATCTTTTTTTTACAAAGACTGCTTTTGTTATACTTGGAATCAGGAAATTATGTGCTCACGTGACTGTGGAATGGAATTTCACAAGTTAAAACGGATATATTCACCTTTCTTAGGATTTTATTGGACTTGGAGAAAGGTAAATATATCTGTTATGTCAAGTGGTCCAAGTGTAATTCGATTTCACAGACAGGTGAAGGTAACTTTCCGCGACTCCTAGTATACTACGTAATTGTTAATCTCTGAATTGCATAGTGTAAATTACTGAATTGTCAAATGAATGCATTTCAATTTATGCTCTCTTGCCACGCAATCTATTTTGTTTTTTTTAATTGTAGAGGTATTGTTGATTTATTTATTTATATTTAGGTGATATTAGAAAGAGGGGTTATTAAGATTTTTTTAAATAGGTATTCTTCCAAATATATATAAATGAAGAAATATGTATGATTCATTTATAAACGACACAGAGAATGCCTCCTCTTTATAATGTACCCTATTGCATTAATGCAGATTGTTATTCGGTGCAACATGTGGAAGTGCAAGTTCTGTTAAAGAAATCTTAGACCAAGTAATGAAAGGACTGCCTTTGTATTTTAATACAATGTAACTTGTAACTGCCTTAAATATAAAATGATCTTTACCACCTTCATCTTCTATCTTATATACTAAAACAGGGATAGATGTTAATGGTGAAACTTATTTTTTTCCGCTAGACTAAAAAACAGAATGTGTTTCATCGGTTTTTACGCAATGCGGGTTGGTAATTTTCCTACAATTTTTATACCATACATTTCTAATAAAACCAAACTATAAAAGCACAGAGCGGATTCCCGTTTTCTGAGTTGTCTTTCCTCTCTATCCTGCACGTTCAACCTGACTTACAACAGGCCCTAATGTACCTCAGATTTTTCAATTTTTACTGGAAAGTGTTATTCATCTGAAATTTTGTAAAATATCAATTATTTCAGTACTTCTTTGTATTCAAATTGAACTCGCTCGGTGCTTCATTGTCAAAGCCAAAGGCATTTTTACAGAACTTGAACAGGAAATGACATTTACGTTCGTTGAGTTGACCAACCAGTGTAAACCGCCCTTGTATTCTAACAAACAGGTACAGGAGACACATACAGGTGGGGATTTTTATTTCCTTGATGTTGGTAACGCACGTGGTATTTACATTTTTAATGATTTATGGCTATGCGTTAAGATGACAATTGCAATGAACAAATATTTTTTAATTTTGAGTGTAGTTTTCGTATCGTATTTAAAAGCGGTTTCGTCAGAGAGTAATTTGGAGGATGACAATGAGACGCAAGGACGGTATCTTATTGAAGGAAAGGTTTTTCCAATGGAACTCCCTTTCACACCTCCAAATTGGCAGGCGAACACTCGATTACACGTGAACGGCGGCGAATACATCGGCTTCGTTAAAGAAGACGGTACGTTTATAATCCACAATATGCCTTCGGGATCATACATTCTGGAAGTACTCCATCCGGAATTTTCCTACGAACCGGTTCGAGTCGAAATAAACTCCAAAGGCAAGTTCCGCGCGAGAAAAGTGAATCATATACAAACTAGCGTGGTCGTTCAAGTACCATACCCGTTAAAGTTAAAACCGTTGGGAAAAACGAGATATTTTCAAGTGCGTGAGCAGTGGAGAATTACCGATTTCCTATTCAATCCGATGATCTTAATGATGTTCCTACCTCTGCTCTTAATTATGATTTTACCAAAAATGCTAAGCGATCCGGAGACCAAACGGGAAATGGAACAAATCGGAAGTCTGACTAACTTTGAGATGCCTGCTGTTTCTGATTATGTCACCAATTACCTGGCGACTGCTCAATCACAACCGGTTAAGAAGAATGCGAAAAACAAGAAAAGACAATGAGATTTTAGTGCAGTGTTGCAATTTACTTGTTCTTTAGGTAAATAAACTTCGGTAGGTTTTGTGAGGTGAAGTGCACTAATTTTATTTCATTATTTAATTAAGTATCAATTTTATGGCAAGATGTTGATGTAGGGGAAATTGTTATGCTCACTTATTTATACATGAAGTCAGTATGTATTTATGTAATAATTGTTATTTAGGTTTGTTATGTTTCTTATCAAAGTATGTGATTTGTTTAGCCATTGGTGTACCTCAGTTTACCCTTTATCACAGATAAAGTAGGTATATCTGTGCTTTATCTAATTAGTCTGTCCAGTTCAGTACTTTTTGATTAAGTATTCATGAGAGCGGAGGCTTCAATCCCTATCTACCCAAGGGTAACTATACTCACAAAATGCAATTGTTAGTTACTCGGATTACATTGTTTTTTTACATCATATATACAGTGTGTCCATGATAAGAATGAATAGCAAGGGGAAATGGAAATTATAAGAAATACATAGGCTAAGTTTGAAAAGTTTTAGGGCTTAGTGAAATAATTTTTCTGGCCTTGTTTGAAAAGATATCAAAAAACAAATCACACTTCCCTACACGACAGTGCTAACTGTATTGAGTAGCATTTTTATTTTTCCCCCCTCGAAAAATATTTACACTGAATTATAGCTTCTGTCCCCAGTTCATACAATCTAAGACTGCTGTGCCAATAGCGACTGCTACAGAAGGTAAATTTACCAACATTTACATTGATTTTAACTTGGTTATTTGAAAATTCCCCTTTGATAATCTCTACGTACGGCACTGTGTTCAGTCACAGGACTTATTTAGACACTGCCTAAATACAGTGCGATGTAGATTATGACGTGACTCCTATTTTTTAAATATGCGTGCTCACCTCAATTGCACTTTAAATATTTATTTCTCACAAAGTGCAAATAAAAATGCGTAACCTATGCTCGTCCTTTAATTTTTCGTTGTAGGTAGTTTCTTATTGAAATGATATAAAAATTACGATTTAAAAAAAAAGGTGTAATCCGGAGTCACGTCGGATTGTAGATGCTAGTGAAGAGAACGACCGTTGGTTAAGTTCTTATTCTGTGGTTGTGTGTTTTTGAGTGAAGTTTTGAAAATATGTCGATTTTAATTTTATAGTGAAGATTTTATATTTATATACAAGTTAGAGATCCACAATGGCGCAATAGTAAGAAATCTTCTGTAATGATTAATTAACTGATGTGCTTCTTGTAGTGATTTATACAATTCGCCGAGCTTCCTTCCTCTCAAAGGGGACTCGGGTTCCAGTTCGTCCAGTATTAGCGGTCTTGACAGTTACAATCTCTATAAGGATATGCAGAAAATACCCAACGTAAGCCACCTTAATAGCGATCTTAAATTTAGAACGAATGTAACAACTACGTTTGGTAATGATGTCGTACAGTTTTAAGGGCAGCATTATGACAGGGAGATCTTTTATGTTAATATGTTTTAGTTTTGTAATTTATTTTTGGTCGCTAACTTGTGCAGTTTCTGTAGCTGGCATTAGTTATTCAGATACCATCATTTATGCTCGCAATCCAACTGTATATTATTATAAGAGTAATTGTGTTGTTTCAGGTTCCCCTGCCAAATTCAAACCACAAGCGTAAACAACTTTTTACACGACTAAGTCCGAATATGAGATCTAACAAACTGCATGAATACTTAATGCAACTGAAACGTCCCGTAGTAGCGAGTACGCCGAGGGGGGCCGAAGCATGCAGCACATCGGGCGTTAGCTTTTGTGGGTTGTCACCTATCGTTGCACGAAGAGACAGCATTATTCACATTAACGGACACAAATCGCAAAATATACGCAATGACAATTGTTCAGTTAAGGTAGTCACAAAACATCTGAAATCCCTTAAAAATAACAAACTAAAAAAGAAAAAGGTCAAACGGGTGCCCAAAATTGCGCAGAAACAAAATAATAAGACGATCGAGGTAGTGTCATTTGAAAATTGTCCTGCCGGTAAACAACCACTAAGTAATATAGAAGCAGGAGTTGGCATGCCAATTCACAACGAAGAGAGAGAAACGCAAACCTCGAATTCTTTAATTTGTCAGCAAATGAGGAATGGGAAGAGTCAAAGTGATATTGTTAATCCCATAAATTTGCTTAAAGACAAATTGATTGGAAGCACCAATGTGCTTAAAAATTCTTTGAATGAGGGAAAACAGTCCCCTCAATCTTCATTTAAAAATGATAATTCTATTTCTAAAATTCTGTCTAACATTGATTTTCTGTTATGTTCTCAAGCTTCTCGTACATCTGCAGGCAGCGACAAGGTTCAGAATAATGTAGACACATTTAAGCATCCACAAAAAGATTTAAAAACAATTAGTGATAAAAAAACTGATGATGATCTTCCTCACGACACTGTACAAGAGAAGGAAGTGTCCAAGATCTCTGAAGAGAAAACTGAAAGTGTACTAGAAAATAGATCCACTGTATCAAAAATACCAACTAGTGATAGAATATTAAGAAATAGAAGTAAGACAGCTAATATTCCAGTAGCTTCTACAGAAAAGAAGCCGCGTACAAAGAAAAAAGGGAAAGGTGAGGTTAGTGACAATAAAGTGGCCAATTTAGATTCAGAAATGAAAGTAAGTGAAAATCAACACCACACCTTAGAGGGTTCTCAAATGGGTACGAGACTGGCTTCTCGGTTATTGAGTGATTGTTCTAGTCTTGAACATCATGATAAGACAAAAACGGACGGTGAACCATCCCACTCCACTACTCTCACTGGTATCCCAGAGAAACTGTCAGAGACTTTGTTAAAAGATGGAAGCAATATCAGCACTAACAGTGCAAAGAGAAAAAGGGGAGCTGGACGTCGGAATAATACCGGTACGGTTAAAGTTGGTGGTGAACATCCAGACAGTACAAAAATGGGCTGTGAAAGGCTTTCTCTCACTGCAATCCCGGAGAAACTTTCCGAAATGCCCGTGAACGATGGCAAAAGTATCAGCAATAACAGTATGAAAAGAAAAAGGGGAGCTGGACCACAGAATAATGCCAGTATGGTTAATGTTGGTGGTGGACTTCCAGCTAATACAAAAACAGATTGTGCATCAACTGCTATCCCTGAAAAACTTTCAGAAAAACAAGTGAATGATACCAATACAGTTAACGTTAATCCTGACAATCAAGATGAGACACAAGCAGGCTGTGACGAGGCTGGAATAATTCTTGATAATGAACCATCACCTATGAGCTTAGATTCTGAGATACTTTCTGAAACCCTGGTGAACGAAACCAATCTACCAGCTAATCAGTCGAATTCAAACACTCTTGTTGATGACCACTTGATGGATTGCTATATAAGCGGAGTGGAGTGCATCGAATTGTCCTCCAACATAGATATGGATCAAAGAAGCCGAGAACTTAATGAAGCTGATATTGTTAGAGAGACACACGGTGGAAGCATTCGGAACTTTGAAATAAGCAGACGTGACAGAGAAAATACTTTACGCTGTCATAAAGAAACATCACTGGAAAGAACAGAAGAAGATCCTCGTGTGGCCCAAAGAGAAAACACAATTATTCAAGTAAGTGATCTGGCAGATAATAACTACAGTGTTGCAATGAGTGACAGAGAGGAAATCTGTGAAGTAAATGATATGGAAAAAGATACGCACAATTGTGATATAGCAATTGATGAGAATGCAAATCGGTCACTGCCACCACTAATTCGTGGAGAGAAGAGCGATGTTGCAGTAATTGTCGAAAAAGCCGCATTAGTGGTGGAAGGAATTATCTGTGAAGCGAGTGATTTGGAAAAAGACAGAATTGGTGCTGCTCCCGTGACGGATGTGGAAGTAAATAGGTCACTACCTAGTAGAGTAATGCCGGAAACTGCAAAAGATCTTATTGACAACGGTGCACCTAATAAACATGATAGAGAAGGTGTTGAACTTGTCCAAGAGCAACATGTGCAAAGTTCACCTACAGTTAGCAAGGCGCAAATCGTAACCGTAACAAACACAACTCAACCGAGTGAACCTGAACACAACACAAATGATGCAGCTTCGTTTGTGGTACCAACAAAAGAAACAAATGCGCCAAGTAAATCAAATAGGAAGCCAAACACACAGAGAAAGGCCAACCCTAAGAAAGCACATGAAGACACGCCTATAAAAAATAATCCTAAACAAACCAGTAGGGATACCAAACGAAAAACAACAAAGGAGCATATCGTGTTAAAGCAGTACATACGTACCCGCAAATCAGGTAATTAGAAGATTATTTCAGGCTTCGTACATTTTTATTACCCATTGTTGTTCAGAATATAGTATTATTTTTTGACTAATAATTATGCATTAAATGCAAGAACAACTTAAACATTTGGTTGTGCACATGTTAGGTTCCATGTGCACATGATATAAAGTTCTATTGTCTCCAAGTGATCGTAACATTCGTAAACGGTAAAACAAAATCTATTTGAGTTGTTCTTTTATTTGATGTCTAATTTGAAATCTTGAGTGAAAAAATTTGCAATGCCTTGAAACGCTTTTGCATTGATTTCCCAAAATTTATGTTCACGAATTATGTGGTCGCTCTTTTTTTTGTAAAAAAAATTTGTAACCTTCCACTCTTATACTCTACGCGGTCGTATGGGGTTGAAATTTTACATGTGAGATGTCTGGTATAAAGCGTGTATACATAATAATAATAATAATAATAAAGGTCTTTATTGGTCTTTTCCTGCCACGCAAGATATAAAAGATACACAGAATAGATATAACAAACAAAACAAAGGAAAAGACAATCTTGAGGCGCAGTTCAAAATATTTTTGTTCTTTCACTGAACCTCAGTTAGAGAAGTAAACATAATAGAAAAAAAATAGATATCAGAGTATAACAAAAAAAAACAGACTTAAAATAAAACAATTCTACACAAACAATTCATAAGCACCTACACGCATCACTTCTTGGGACATATCTGATCATTCCTACCATCGTAGACCCAAGAGCACTACCGATTTTTAGTTTAATTGATAGATGTCCAATAGTAAAAATTTCACGATCTTCTCATTATCGAGTTTAAAATTCGCGGGTCTCATTCAAAGTTTTGAAGTTAGAATATCCTTGACGATCAAGGGCATCCTCCCAATTAGCCGCCTTAAAATTGTACAACTTTTGTATGAAACCAAAAAACATGATCCCAACAAGTCATTAAATCAACTCAAGATAAACGAATCACCTGGTATATATAATTGTCGCGTAAACTTAATTACATGAGTTATTTATTTGCAATAAATTTATGAAATGAATTAATTTAGAACAGTTGAAATATTATTAATCACTCACATATACACAATTTGTAACAGCGCGAACTATTTATTACTTCGGTATTGAAATTGGAACTATACTGAATCGCAATTCGATTTGCGTATATAGTAAACTCAAGTGGTTGTGAGTCTCCCCGAGTGTTTCGGAACAAATCATGTCGTATTTATCGGAAAGATTGCGTCAAATCCGCTGTATCGCCGATGACTAATCCTTCATGGCGCCTTGATGTCTATCGGAATTTCTGGAATATTCGCTACAATATATACTGGGTGAATATTTCAAAACCGAACATAGGCAATTAACATGGAAAAAACGTTTTTTGCCGATCGTTGCTCTCCATGTTAACTTAGAGGGTGTATAATGACACCAATCGAAAGAGGAATTTTTTTTCTCATCTAATGATATACGAATTTAGCTCATTTTCAAGTGTATTTCTCATTATTTTATCAAAAATTCGGCAATAAATCGAAAGTTATGAGGATACTACGAACTGGACACTTCATATAACACAATCAAATATGACAGGCAGTTCAATTGATCATTCAATGTAGGCAACACATCATACAAACATTAATGGTAAGCGCCATCTATTATACGAACGGTGGAAGTAGCAAGAGTTTATGTGAAAATTGTACCCTGGATCTTATCTTGATACATCCATGCTCAAAATCAAAGATATTGAATAATATTGACAAGCTTTTTAATTTGTTTATAAAATACAACTACTTCAATTATTTTTATAACATTCACTCCTTGATACTTTATACAAAGTTTGTACAGAACACTTTTCAACAGTTTACAATGTAATCAGTTATCTGGGTTTTAAGGTACCTATGTCCTATGTATTAGAATGTCTTCGTATTCTTGTTCTTAAATCGAAAGTACATAACCAGAAACCTACACAAAAACCTTGAAGAACTAAATTGCCAATTTTGGAATTTTTGCTTCCAAGATTGCTTAACATGACCTTTCTCGCTTAATATGATTAGAAATTAATCAGTTTCTCGTTATGTTATATCTGTTGTTAATTCACAGGATTCGTTCGGCTTGAAGAGACTGCACCAAGTTGTTCCAAGGATAGTACCATGAATGGTAAGTGTTTCATTGCGTTGCAATAGTTGGAATATGTACTACTGTAGAGAACTTTTGCAGATACCGGGAGACCGAGGCGAGCCGGTGGAGCTCCAAGGGCATTCATTCAAGCAACCTTTGTGGATACTAGACACATTCGAAGTAAGTGAAAGGCACCTTTTTTATATTTATAGTAGACTCCTGGATGAAAAAACAACTGGATTGCTTGCCAAGTCAAAATTTATGAAGCCAACAACAGCGCCATCACAAGGCCTTTTGTGAAACGAAGTTTGACACACGTCAATTTTAGGAGATTTATTTAGTGCTTTTATGTAATTTTGTGTTAGTTCGTTATATAATTAATTTAAAATGGGACGCTGAAGTTGTTGCGATGCAGCTTATAACCTCAAAAACAAGGACGTTAATACAGAAATGTTTTTCGCTTAAGTAAAACGCTAATTCGGCTCCTCCAAATTCATCAAATGAAAATGATGATAGTTTCTCCGACCAGGAAGAAGTTGAAAAGTAGTAGATGAAAATGTAAACACTTTCTCTGATCATTAAAATATGGATCTTAAATCGAAGTAACACCCTCACCATCATGTACTACCTACTCGATATCCAGAAAATTGGTTACACGCTACAATAAACATGTACATTATTGTAAAATAATAGTACATTATTGTAACGTGATTTATAAATTCGGGTTCGATTTATATCAATATTTATTAAACAAAACTAAACACTACAAAAAAACCGTACAATTTATATCGATTATTTATATCACACACTTCGCAATTTATATGTATTTCCGCGCTCTAATGTTTCATACGTACTCGATCTCGTTCGATAGTAAAACTGCTGCGATGTTCGGTCCGCAACCGTGTATAAATACACGCAACCAATGTAAGTCCAGAACATTCGCGCAATTACCAGACACGCTGCAAACATCCCCACCATCGCGCGTCTAGAAAATTCCAGAGCGCCAAAGGCGACGTCATGTCTGGAGCGTTTCCGTTACATTATATATCAAGGTAGAGAAGTACAGTATTATTGCCTGAGCACCAAGATTACATCTCGAGGCGCTTGCGCCGAGGGGTGTAAGGTGCGAAGGCAATAATAGACTTCTCTACCATGGTATATACAGGGTGTTACACGACCGTTCGAAAAAAAAAAATCGGGTTGTAGAGGGCATCAAAACAAGCACTTTTTCCAAATAAACCGAGGGTCCAACGTGTTTCGTTTGGGAGCCACCCCCCAAAGAGTGTTGAAATCTGCATTTCTTCTTTAATTTTTTTCTCAGCAACCATAAGAGTTACAAAGTCGGGTGGCATGTCTTTGAATAGGTTTTTGGGTATGCTCTTTCCGATTTTGCAATTTTTTTTTCAAAATTCCTACCCCTAAAGGGCGCACCCCTAAACTAGGGTGCAAAAAAAATTCTGATTTCGACGAAATTTGGTATCTGGGGTTTTTTAACATGAAAATCACGAATCTGAAATTAGTTTTTGAAAATTCGAAAAAAAAAGTTCCACTGCAATTCTTGGCGGGACAACGAAAATAGAGATAATTCCACGAAATTTGTTGTGTACATACTAAACGAGTTAAGGAACAAAACTGTCGAACAGTTTTTTTAAAATAACTTTTCAAACAAAAGTTATACTCATTTGAATGTTGGTCCTTCGGGTCGCGAAGTGTCCCAAGCCTACTAGTAAGCCATAATTTCGCATGTGTTGGTTGCCAATGTCGCATGTTGCTGAGAAAAAAATTAAAGAAGAAATGCAGATTTCAACACTCTTTGGGGGGTGGCTCCCAAACGAAACACGTTGGACCCTCGGTTTATTTGGAAAAAGTGCTTGTTTTGATGCCCTCTACAACCCGATTTTTTTTTTTCGAACGGTCGTGTAACACCCTGTATACTATTTTTTTCACTACTAGCATTAACATATTATATTGATAAGAAAGTGAACGGTTGGACAGAATTGTTTGTTTCTTAATTTAACATGTCAATCAAGTACGTGGAAGTACAAGTCAAACAGGCCGTATTTTGTTCTGTCATTGAGATATTTTCAAAGAGTAATTTCGGTGGAATTTTTTCAAAATGTGATAATTTAAGGTATGTAATTTCTCTGGAAATGGCTGATGGTGGCAATTATTCATTTTAGAGAACTTGTCCAAACGTTTATTGAGCGAAATTTCGGGTTGTGTTTTCTAAAAGTGACAGCGCGACAGTTCTCATTATTGACTACTAGTTAATAATGTCCACATTATTAACCACTTTGAACAAATGCCGAGAAAGCCTACTTTACAAGTGGAAAAAAGGTTAATAATCATGTCATCAGACACTAGTAGTGAAAATACTTATTTCACTATCTGTTGTTATCATTATTTAAAAATGATATCTACTTCAAATTTATTTATTATATAAATTAATTCGTCAGGTATAAAGTTAAACTGTGATTGTATAAATAAGTATACTTGTCCTTGCAAATTTCATATTTAGTTCTTATTTTAGCCATCAAAAAAAGGCAGTGTACCTTTCTTTTTCACCAAAAATCGACTACACCAAAATTTCTCGGGAAAACACTTTTTCTTATTAATTTTGGTGCGTAGAATCCAAAACAATTCGGACTTTTTCCATTAGACTTCTCAATCAAAAGTTATGGACTACCAATTTCGAAAGAAAATTCAAAGGGCTGTAACTTTTGATCTAGTAGCCCTATCTTGGAACTGTTTGAAATTATGGATTCTACAGGCCACATTCTATAAGAAAATTTGTTTCCGGGTCGATCTGAGACATGGCGCTGTAGAGAAGGTTGGCTTCAAATTTTATACTATATAGATATTATACGACGCCAGCGGTCCAGGTTTAAGTGGTCGAAGAGTAGACTATTCTGAGCTTATGTAGCAGAACTTGGTACAAAACTCAAATGTCTAATGAATTATGTAGAAACCTGTCAGTGGCTTTACAAGAATGGATTTCGCCTATTTTCTGCATTTTTCACAGACTGTCACCATTTAATTTATGTTCTGATGCTATATTTGCTTAATCTTTAACAGACTAAGAAAGATGTCATGCGATTTACATCAGAAGATACTTTCTCCATATAAGTAGCTACATGTATTATAACTCGTTCCAGAACTGTCAAGCGCAAGTGTTATATCAACCGACTCTGATTCGAAAAATACAACTACAAAAACTACAAAAACATCTACTACTAGGACAAAGAGGCAGCGGACTACTAAAACTAAAAATACTAGGGACAGCACAGATAATGATCAGCAAAATGAAAACAATCCGAAAAATAGAAGAGAAGAAACGGCACCTCCCACTAAACGAAAACGCCAAGTTACAAAAACGAATGTCTCTCATGACAGGAATAGGACGGATGCAACTCATAGTGTTGATCAGGATATTTCGGCAGGTTTGGCCACAACTGGAAACTGTGAGTCTGGTACAGGTATGTTCATATTTAAATAAAATTGATTATTGTGATCATCTATTACCTTGTGCTTGTGCAGAATGATATATATCAATGGCCCTAGGTCTAAGCTAGCATTCAGTTTTCAAGAGGCTGTCTTAGAAACAATCGCTATCGAACGACCAATATTTTAATAGCTTACAGTATTTAAAATAATTAGGTACCAAAATGTCTTTATCAAAGGCAATAAAGAATGATACCCCTGAAATTTTACTGCATGTTCAAGCTGTTCATTGACATTGTATAAATGTGCGCAATAATAATTGCAAGAAACTGTAGTCCTATTCAGCTTCACAAAAGGTAGGTTTACGTTTTCCGTATTACAGGTCTAATAATTATGGCATGGAAAGTATAAGTACCTCAAAATTTTCAGTCTTCTATACATTATACCGTAAAGTAAATTTGGCCGAGAACTATTTATTACTTCGGCGTTGAAATTGGAACTGTCCGGAAACGCAATTAGGTTTGCTTATATAGTAAACGCGAGTGTTCTCGAGTACTCCCGAACGCTCTCGAGTGTTCTAGAACAAAACATGTCACATTTCCCGGAAATATTACGTCACATTCGCATTCGTTCTTTATCGCCGATGATTATTCTTTCATGGCGCCTCGATGTCTATCGTGATTTCTGGAATATTCGTTACAATACACTCCAGCATATACAAACAAGGGCATGTTAATATATCGCTCTCTATTTTTAAGATCATTACTTATCCTAATGGCTCTCCTTTGTGGCCTGTGAGTTCTATTGGTTACACTGGAATGTCCCCATCATCAAAACGCCTTAGAGATATGAAGCTCAATTAACGTGAAACATGTAGTACTGCGCTCGTAACTGTGATATTAGGAAATTATTACAATCATTTGAAAGATATACAGAGTTTCAAAATATCTAAGTGAACTGTTGTGATCCCATTTGATCCCAATGAAAAGAACGATTTTGGTGCATTCATAGCCACCTAGATTAAAAAGTAACATTCAATCATTTTTTTAACAACCTTGTATAAATTACCGAAAATAATCCGGTGTAAAATTGTCTGTTTAATCGGAAAATGTAAAAATATACAGGTTGTGCCATATAGAAAAATACTATTTCAAGCCTTCAATTCATTTTTACTCATAATATCACCTACTAAAATTTTATACCCATACTAAATCGGCTCGGTACGAGTGTACGACTTAAGTGACTTGGCGCAATCGGTACGCGAAATAGCAGAGTGCGACATCAACGAAAAAAAGAAGTTTTAAAAAAAATCCTAGAATCCGATCGGCCCCAATTGTGAATTTAAACCCTCCTGGGACACACAGACACATAAACAAATTTTATCAAAATCTGTCCAGACGTTTAGGAGTTGAGTTACAAACACATGTTCAAAAGAATTTTATGTACAGCGTGGCCTTTTGAAAACAATGACTAAATTTGAAAGAGAAGTAAATGACCCCATTTTTGTGGTGTTGTATGTGACTACCACTTTTTTGATGTGACACCGGCATTATAGACCTTTAACGGCCTTGAAAATAAAATAGACATCTCAAGAAATGGGGCAATTGATCTCAAAATAAAAAATGACACTAGACAAAGTGTGTTTGTTGACATTTAATCACATAGAAATTGAAATAAAATATCACAAAAATGGAGCACTGGCATCTGATGACACAAAATATGATGCCCCAAAAAAATGGGGTCATTAACGTTTTTGATCTTGGTATTGAAATATTACACCAGAAAAATTGACCATTGACTTCTGATGTCCTCGAAAATATAATAATAATAATAATAACCATGTAACTGCAAATCTATTAATATTTCAATTTCACCTTCAATCTTAATATTTCTTCATCATCTAAGCTTATTTGCACTAATTATCCTTTTTTAAATTGTATTGAAAAAATTCTTTGAATCAGGTGCCCACAACTTACATCAAGGACACACATCTGATCATTATAATACTCCTGTTTGTATGAATGAAACGGGAGTTGCTATGTTGGACAGTAGTGTTGACAATACTATCGTGCCAAGAGAGTGTAATGCAGAAGCGGTCGTGGATCCAAAGGTTATAACTATTCAGAACACCCCGATTCCAAGCACAAGTAAAGCAAACTCCAATAAAGGTGAAAGTGGAGAAGGTAGCAGTGGTGGTTTCAAAATGAACACTGCAGGGGAGGAGAAGGATAATCATAATAGGCCAGCCACAGGTTCGAATCGCTGTAGTGATCATATGATTCAAGCTATAATCAACAACAAATGCACACCATTAGGTAAGATTAGGTTTTTCACTTTGTTATTTGTTAACAAGTTAACAAAATGTATACTACAGATATACAGGGTTTCGCTAAAGTTCCGGGACGGATCTATAAGTTTGAAACAAGTGAAGAAAATAATGTGAAAATTTGGGGATTAATAAAGGGTCATAAAAACTGCACTTTATAAATGTTTAGGGTATCGCCTTGTAAAAAACTCCAGTGTACGAAAGTTTTAAACTATAATAATAATAATAATAATAAACGTATATTTGTTTTAAGGCAATGCCTCATACAAAGAAATAGAGAGAGATATGATAGATAACTTAAACAAATTATAAATTTCTAAATAATTATGACATAAAAGAAACCATTTTTCTATAAATAAGTAAATCAACTATCATTCATTTAAACAAAATGATCTTATTCTTAATGCATTAAGTATATAATTATAAACACAGTTTAGTTGGGCTGCGTCCTTTACTTGTAGTAAGTGACAGATATTAGATTCGTCGTCCTCATCGATGCAATATTTTTTTAAATAAACGACCCTTATCGGTTGATATATTGGGCATTTAAAAAGGAAGTGTATAAGATTTTCGTTTTCGTTAAGATTACATACTTGGCATTTGTTTATGTTATCTAGTTTGTAAAGCATATTTTTTATAAGAATGCGCGTCCCATTTTTGTAAGCCAGTCTGAGTTGTGCTACTGTTCTGATCTTTATAATTGGGACTTTAAACGTTAAATATGCTGACATTTCATAATTATGCTTCATAGCCTGTAATTTGTTGTAGTGGTCGTTAAATTTTGTACTCGTTACGATATCTGCAGATTTTAAAGTTGTGAAGTGTTGGTCAATTACATTTCTGATAGAGCTTTTAGTCATATGATGCGATTGCTGTAGCCAGGTGTTCCCATACCCCAGATTTTCTATAAAATGACGTATTTGTGATGCCCAGTTGTATTCAGCCGTATTCTGTTCCCAGGAGTCGAGGTGTTTCAACCGATTATAAAGCAAATTCGTATAAGACGTTGGTTTTTGTTTTAATACTTTCATCCACCAATTTAATGCTCGCGCCCATACGAAGTTACTAACATGCCTCGCGCCGGTTTCCAGGCGGAGCATATGATTAGGGGTAGTTTTCTGACATTGCAGAACGTCTTTGAGATACTTGGTGAGTATTCCTTCAAGCCCTTCCGGTTTAAAAACGGCCCATGTTTCAGCTCCATGCAGAGCGGTAGCTTGGACAACACTATGAAATAGTTTGAATTTTTCATTCCATGAACTCGATTTGCCTTTTATGAGGATTGCTTTAACATTACCGATTGCAACTAAGGCCTTCTTTTTTGCCTCTTTTGTTGCTTCATTAAATTTGCCCGTTGATGTAAATGTAACGCCAAGATATGAAAATTTATTTACAACTTCTAATGGATCGCGATCATAATAAAACTTAACAGTTTTTGAATGTGTCCAGTTTCTTTGAAATTTCATTATTTTAGTTTTGTTAGTATTTAACGTCAGACTATTTTCCTTACAATAATTGTATAAAATATTAATTTTCTTTTGCAAGTCTATGGGAGAATGGGAGAACAAAGCAATGTCGTCAGCATATGCAATTAACAAAATATCATTGTTCTGATCGATATTTAAACCACGAACTCCATGTGCTCGGAAATAACTCTCTATATCATTTATAAAAAGTGAAAACAGTATTGGAGATAGTTTTTCCCCCTGCAACACCCCTTCTGTGATAGGAATCGTATTACTTAAGTTGTTGTTCACTTTAACCTGCAAACTTGCATTCTTATACAGACTCTCTATCATTCTAATAACTTTTGCACTAATGCCATTATCATACAATTTCCTCCAAAGTATGTTATGGTTGATTCTGTCGAATGCTTGTTTAAAATCGATAAACATTACATATACTGCATTTCTTGCCAACCTTAGTTGTATATGAATAATTGCCATTAATGAGAATATGTTATCCGAAGTGCCTCTAGTTTTTCTAAATCCCATTTGGTATTCCTTTAGAATGGAAGATTCTTCAACAAAGTTGTAAATTCTATTGTATAGGATTTGGGTAAATAATTTTGTAACACTATTGGTTAGGGCTATACCTCTGTAATTTGCTGGATCATTTTTCGGTCCTTTCTTATGAATTGGCGTGATGATTATTATTGACCAAGAACGAGGTATTTTTTCTAATTCCCAAATATTGTTAAACATATTGAGCATATAATGTTCCCAGTTTGGTGGTAAGTGTTTATAAAATTCATTGGGTATTAAATCAAATCCCGGTGTTTTACCGAGTTTGGCCGACGCTATGCTGTTGTGAAGCTCGTTTAATGTTATAGGCGTATCTAAGTAATAATTAGAAACGTCAAAGTATAATGATACAGATGAATTCAAGTTTGCGTGATGTCTACGATAAAATTCTTCCCATTCCTCAAGTGTTACTTCGTTGATGTTTTCGCGACTTGTTTTCAAGTTTTTAACAACTTTCCAAAATTCACTACTATTATTAACATTAGCAAGAGTGTTAGATATGTTCTTATAATACACCTTTTTAGATTTAGAAAGTTTTAAACTATCTAAAATCCGGTTTTCTTCACTTGTTTGGACCTTATAACTAACTCCGCCAGAAGACTTTTGGAAAACTCTGTATTTTTAAAATCTGGGGGAAGCTAGTTATACATTTTTTACAAATAATAGCTAACTGATATTCATGCTGAAGGTCACTCCCACTTATTGCAAAGTACATATTCCTTTCAGAGTGGTGCGCCGATCCACCACAACTTGATCCATCTCAGAACTTGAGTATGATGTTCTGTTTGACAAACCTAAAGTCGCATATGTGCACTACATTCTGTGGATTCATACAGTACGGACCTGGCCGAAAGAAATCTGGTATTCCGAAAAATCACGCGCTTGTAAGTAATTTGATGAGGTTGTTGCCCCGAATTGACTCGATTCGATGTTTTTAGCTATACAAGGTGGAAAAGGGAAATGTTGAAGTTACGCAGCAATTTAATACAAGAATTCTTGACGTTAACGCCTGCTTCTACATACCCTTAGGTAATTATTCAATTGAGACACTCTCGGCATAAATATTGCCTTAATGCCCTTGGTACATAAATAACTATTAGTGTCTAAGGACCACATACTACATTCTCATTATTTACAGTATGATAGCTCACATACTAAAAATGGGCAATTAATATTATTTTGCCGAGTCGAACTTTGTTTGATTCCATGTTGTTTATATGGAATATAACTTCAGCGGGCATGCACTTATAACCAGATGTGTTTATCATTGACACATGCAATGTGTAAATAGTTTTTCTTATTTCAGGTTCCCCTTATACAATCAAAATATAAGTGATACTGAAAATTTAATTTTATTTTTTATAAAAATGGTAAGTCTTTCTTTAATTCTTGTTCGTATTGTGAACAGTTTGACTATGTATTTAATTTTAGATTTAGACCAATTTATTTTATAAAAAGTTTGTAATAAAAAACTTTCCAATTTTGAGCAAAGTATAATTTCCTGATTCCATGTTTGTTATTTTAAGTAGGCGGCTACTCTGGGGTCCTCCCAAATTTTATGGATTGCACTAAAGCCGCATGCCACTTTAATATGTCATCAATAAGTAATATAAATTATTAATCAGTGGCACAGCTAAGGTTAGAGTAGGGGTGTTTAGAATGGGCTTCCCTGGCAGGGACTGCCAGACACAGTACGAGCAATATTTAAAAGTATCATTTTTCGAAAAAATCGAATTTGAAGCATACTTTACACCAAAAACAATTGAAAGAATGTGCAGTTTTTACTAACCAAACGTTCTAACCATTTTACATTTACATTTTGGCCGTGGAAGCAGACTGGCCCAAAACCTTACTTGCACTCACATTTATAACACTTTTTTTAACATGAGCGCGGATTTCATTATTTATCACTTTAATATTGACGTTAATACTAAGACCAAACGCCATTCCATTTGCTTATACAGGTTGATTGAAATTTGAGGGCCACTATCAGGATCTCTGAAACTGTAAGAGATAGGTAGGTAGGTTAAATTAGGCAAAGCTGTGTATTTTTATGTTTCAATTCCGTTTTGAATGAATAGCGCCATTTCTTATTAGGAAATAGTGATATTTATATTTTTGAAATCGGGAAAAAAATGCTCTATCAAATGACACAAAAAGATATAAGATATTAATTAAGGAGTCAAGCAGGAGGCTATGGGTGGTAGAAATTAATTCCTTTCGTTAAGATTAGAGTATCATGGAGCATACATAAAACCAGTTCCTCCCCCCCCCCCCCCCAATCCCCTTTCTTGATAAGGAGTCGGAACGTAGGGCGGTAGTTGGTGGAAAACAGTTGCTTTTGTTGAGACCTTTCATTGGAATTGGTTGTTGCATGTAAAAGTTATGCACGTTTTACACTCAAAAACATCATCTCGGGCAAAAATTCATGGGGAGGGCCCCCCTTGTGACAGCGAAATTTGATAGCCGTCTGGCACACCTTCAGGGTTTTAGGGTACATATTGCAAAAAATTTCAGGACTCTAGGTCCATTCCCCTAAAAGTAGTTCAAAACCGCAGAAGTGGGTCCGGACAGACGGACGGCCAAACGCAAACATAATTCTTAAAAAATGCGATAAAAAATGGCCATAATAATGTGTCATTTATTTCAAAATATGTTTAAATAACTTCGGTAAAATAGTTATAATTTTTTCAGTTTCAAAACGGCATTTTGTTAAGCATCAAAGTACGCAACTTTACTATAACTTAAACTATTATCTATCTCTTACAGTTTTCGAGATCCCCATGGTGGCCTTGAATTTGAATCAGCCTGTATATAAATATATACAGGGTGTTCATTTGAAAACCTTCCACCACGGATTTATCGAAAACCATTGATTAAAGGAAAAGACGCCGAGACACGTCAAAAGATTTGTCAAGGGGGGCAAGTTTTTGACCAAAAACTAATTCACCCTCTGTCCCCCAAGGTCTATTCCCTTAAAAGTTTTAAATGATAAGTGGTACCGAGTATTAGTTTGTTTGAAAGGTCTTTCGAAGTCCTTTATTTTGACGTTTGATTTTTTAAAATCGGTCAATTCGTTTTCGACAAAATTAGAAAAATCTTTAATTCGTTTAATGATAGTTAAATTTCATCATTCGCAAAAAACTAGAGGCAGTTAAGTTGCGTACGCGCTCTGGTCACCTGTAGGTAGTGAGCGTATTCTACAGGCCATCGTGCTGGCCGTGCTTTGTTGTTGGGCTATTGTTAGGTAAACCCCCTCGCAAATATCCCGATATATTCCTAGGCGCGCGGCGTAACCCTTTCTCAAATAGGTATTAACCCTTCATGATGGCATCACCAACGACGCATCCCAATCGCCAACTGGAGTGTTTGGAGATCCAGGAGAGCCCAGCACTAGCTCGAAGCGGGACGCCCCCGCGGTGAGTTTCTTAATTAATTGGCGATGATCGCGGATAAGCAATGGCGATGTTTATTTACATGACCCTCCAGCGCGAAAGACGAGCTGTCAGACTGAATGCTGCCATGCCACCTCTTATGACCACATTCGTAGATTACAGGGAGGCGTTTCTAATAGAAGGTGAGTTTACAATAGATTTATCGCATCTTAATAATGAGTTCTGTCCAGCAATTAGTTACCAGCTACTTCCCTTGATAAAAATACCAATGCCCTTCATTACAAATATAAAGAACAGAAAAGATATGCATGAATTTATAGCGTACCGATTCAGTTGTTGTGTCCTACACAAGAGTTGTGCACAATTTCTACTTGCCATGTACGATATGTAGGTAGTACCTACCATTGAATAACTTAATTTTTTATTCAATGCTAGTACCAAAGAGTAACCATAATTTACTCTTTGCTAGTACCTACGGTTGCTGTTTTAAGAATTTTCTTGAACGTAACTAGAGACATCTATCAATGATAAGCAGAAGTAGCGCGAGCAATGTTAATTTATAATCGTTGATTTATATATTACAATGATATACATCAGTGATATTCATGTAGAAGTAGACAGGGATTTCCTGTCTGCTTTAAGTGATAAAAAGTCTTCTAAAGAACGCCTAACTTTATGCAACAAAAATAACTACCTACAACAAATGAAGATTTGAATATTATCGCTTTGACTTCCGTATTTGTATTTTCGTTTGTGTGCTATGTATTTAACTAAAGAAAAAGTTGATATTTCTAATTGGTATAGTGCCTGTAACAGTTTAAAGGAGCTTAAGAGATTTATTTTCTGTGCGGCTAAAGCAACAATATTCAAATTAATAATTAATATGACAGCCAGATCTTTATTTGTTTCAAGAAGTTATTTTGGTTGCATAAAATTAGGCGTGTTTCAGAAGACTTTTTATCATTGGAACCATAGGAATTCCCTATGTCTACTTTTACATGAATATCACTGCATGTATTATTTCATTGCGCCCCTCTTCCGGCAGTTGTATAAAGCAAAAGTAATAAGTGTATCCCCTCCACTTGCGACGCGCTCCTAAGGTGTTGGTGACTACAGATAAGAAAATCTATTATCGCGTCACCTAACAATTTTTCGCGCAGTAGTTGGCGAAAGCTCGAACGGTGCCGATGTATGCAGCGTCGATTCAATGGTAAATGGAGTGAACGGTGAGCTGTTAATGCATACAAACTCATCACTAACCTCAAACATCACTGCTATTCTTCAACGGCAAAGGAAAAATTGTGAAATGCATCCCCTTTTTCGCGTTTTCCTGATTTCGCATGAGGTCACACACACTATGCTTTCTTTACCAAAATATTTTCAACAGGTATGTGCTCATTACAGCTTAGACGTTAGTCATGAATCGACGTGCGTTGACGTAAACTATCCAAAATGATATTTTTACTACTCGTCTAGTTGACAGGTTGGAAAAACTACGGTCAGGTGGAAATCGGTCGGGAGTGCAAACTTCTCCGGCGGTTTTCCTCAATAACTTTCTTGCGCATTTTCCAACGAAGTTCGTTGCGCGATTGCAGTCAGTTTCTCTGTCCGTCCGTCCGAGGCTTTTACTACTCCTACAGTTTTCAATACATTTACTTCGATCTTTTTGAGTTCAGTAGCTTATAGCTCTGCCACTTGAGCCAAGAAAAATCTGGACGATTATCAACTTTCTTTGAAATTTTAACCACAGATACTTCTACTAAAGGCAAACATATCGCATGTAGTAAAAATCAGATGTGCGCTTGAGCAGACTGCGCAATGCCAATTTTGTTTATGTATGGGGATGTTTCTTTGAAATTTTAACTGAAGATGCTTTTGGTAAAAGCAAATTTACTTATTTATAATTAAGACCGAATGTTGAAACGCCAATACTCGATTATTTAGTTTAGACATTCAATGGTTTTAAGAGTATACGTATACCCTACTGCTAATTGTACCGATTTTCGTTTTGGACGAAGCCTAAAAATTGCCTTTTTTGCATGGCCCTCATATTATACTAAATTACATATAATTATTTAAGATTAGAATATAAATAACCAGGAAAAACACATCATTTCGAAAACCTATCAGAGTAGGTTATAGGAATTATAAAAAAGTTTTGAAGGTTTTGGAAGAGTCTAAAAATGACAGAAAACTATACAGGGTGTTCGATTTAAAAAAAAGTGAGATTTTGTTATATAAAGTTTGCAATTTGGATCTACAAAAAAAACACCCTTAAGCTTTTTTTTAATGTTTCATAGTAGATGTATTTATTTGACCATTTACTTACTCGGATAAAAGATATAAAACCCTGGAATCAAATTTAAGTAATATTGACAATATACTGACCGGTTGCAAATGCCTAATTTCTCATTAAAAATCGAAATCTTTAAAAAACGCTTCAGTTTTACGGATATTAACTCTATAATAAAAAGACGTAAATACAACTAGAATTCAGAAATGCATATAATGCAGAAAATGCAATAATTAAAGATATTTTACATCACAACTCATACTATTCGATTACGGAATTCATTCACAAGAACTTACCTTGATCTTCTAGCTAGCCATTATTTGACAATATAATATCAAACATACTTCACGTACCTATGTAGACTGTGATAATATCCAACTCACATGTTATTGCTATTTATGTTGTTTGTTATTGTTACTGACGTGTCCTATACATTTTTATATGTCTACAGGAAATAAAGATTATTATTATTATTATTATTATTCAAATACAGGGGGTTCTATTTAAAAAAATGTACCATTTTGGCCCCTTGGGGCGCACCCTGATAATTAAATATTTTAAAATGTGAAAGAATTTTGAACCATATCATAATACAAAAGCACTCTATCTAAAATTCTTATCTTCAAAGCATTACGTTACTCCGCGCATAAATGACTCATCCTGTACAGTTAATGTCTCCATTACACGATCCACGCAAAACTGGTGCATTTTGAACGAAGAGTATGTATGGCCGATGACTTTATAGCGTTTTACCCGTACAGTTTTAACCATACGTTTAAAACTGTGTAAAAAGAACGA